TAAAAAAACATAGTTCTTGCGCAGTCAGCAAAAAAAAAATAGGATGATACTGAACCATTTATTTATTACTAGAGCGAGACATCTACGGGATTATATAATACAAAAAAGTTTTTTATTGTTTTACAATTTTTTTATTTTTAGTTTTTTTTTAATACAATTTAGAATGGCAAACAAGCTGACGGCCCACCTGATGGAAAGTGGTAACCGTCGCCTATAGACATGAACAGCACCATGGACAACAAACTATACTGTTTCGCGCATGATAACCCCCATGCGTTGCCATTTCTGAGGACTCAGATGTTATTCCTCTGTACCCAGTAAATTCACGCCACATCCCACCCTTGAAACCGAAACACAGCCATGCAAACACAACTGCTTCACGGTTGAAATACGAATGGGACAGAGGTGCCCAAGCAATCGACTTTTGTACAAAGTCTCCCTCTGGTAGAATAACATAAAACAATCAAAACACACAAAATAGTTAAGTAGATACGGCTTACTAAGCCCTAGTATTGGCGTGACTTCTGTATTGTATTTATCGGCTAAAAAAATTTGTTTTAAAATATCAAGTCTTGTTTTTAGATAAGTGTGAAATTTAGTACACGATTGATTTATATTTATCTTCGTAATCAAAATAGCTTTAGCTAAAAGGCGCCGTACCACGCATCTCGAGCGAAAAAAGTACATTTTAAATTACTGTTTGGTCTGTTTGCAAAAGTGGGACCATATCGGTCTCGCTGGGGACATCGGGGACAGACCGCCTATAATCGGGACTGTCCCGCCCAAAGCGGGACGTATGGTCACGTTAATGATACATATAATTTATTACTCCAATCACCGCCACCTTGATTATAAGTGGCAGTAATAAAATTATAAGAATAAACATCGCATAATTATCACGTTACTCGACCTTAATCATACCACATTTTCTCATACAACTCGTTAGTGTTAATAAGTAGTGACCATTTATTACGAGAAACGTCATTTGCTTCGGCATCTCTGTCCCATTCATGTTTCTACCGTGAGGCAGTAGTGTTTTTTTTTTTGATGGGTGAAAATGGCATGGTAGCCCCGCCTGCGCTAACGGGATACGCTGGCGGAGCACCAGTGAAGGGTGATAGATGAGAATGAAAACAGGCCAGTTAGCCCATCATGATGAATTCATCAGGAATTAACCATGATAGTTTCCAGGGGGAACCGCGAGGAGGTCGACCTGGTTGGGTATATTGCTAGCAATGGTATTCTCAATCTCCATTACTAACAATCCCTTTTCCCCCGAAACAGTAGTGTTTGCATGGCTGTTTTGGTTTGAAGGGTAGAATATGACATTGAATTTACAGGGTACAGAGGAATAATACCTGAGTCCTCAGGAAAGGCAACGCATGGGAGGTATCATGGGCGAAACAGTATACTCTGTTCTGCACATGTCTATTGGCGTTACCATTTTCCATCAGGTGGGCCGTATACTCGTTCGCCATTTTCAATTGCATAAAAAAAGTTTTGTCACTGTGTAGTAAAAATACAAGGTGACTTCTACTTCTTTAAATCTACAGGAAGTAGAAAGAAGAAACTATGGGAACAAAACATAGCAAGATACTTCAGTGCAAGGGAAGGATATCCCGAAAATTACGGCAATTGCAATCAACTGATTGCAATCAATTTCAACCGACTTTAAAAAGTAGAGTCGGAAAACATTCTCGAAACTCAATTGGACTGTATGTATGATACGCGATATTTTCACCGATTTTGATTATGACTCTTGTTTTAAGGGATTCTTTATTGAGACTTCTTTGTGGCCATGATGTAAATGAAAGTCTGGCCACATATATATTTATTCATTCATATATTGTTGTTCTAAAGAATATTATTTTTCACTGTGACCCGTACATTCTTCCGTATTGGATTCGAAGCTTATGAACCTTTTGCAACATATTTTATACCACTGAGGTGACGAACGGCTTACCTCATGGTAAGCAGTTACCGTAGTCTAGGAAGCCTATGAACATGACTGCGATCCGCAATTAATTACATGAGCTTAAATGGTTTCCTTCAAACCTCTGTATTGAAAGTCGAGTTCACAGAATATCTCACGTAACTTGTTATTCACCTCCTATTTCACTGAAATACGCTAATGAAGCTAAACACACAACAGTAAAGGTTGAAGGGATCTTAACAAATTTCCTTTAAAGAGAAGAAGATCTTAATGGGCGATAATAGAATGGCAACCTCACCTGCGCTAATAGTGTACACCAGCGAGGCACCAGTGAGGGATGGTAAATGAGAATGAAAAGGCAGGTCAGTTAACTCATCATGATGAATACCACAGAGAGGTTAACCTGATAGGGTATATTGCTTATAATTGGGGCTGATAGTCCCCATTAGTAACAATCTCTCCCCCCCCCCCCCCACTCCTTTGAGGAAGGAAGTATAGTGTGTATAATACCAAACCCTCTAAATATATATATATATATATAAATATGTTATCAGATACAATATATGAGCATAATTCTTATAAAAGAATCAAATTTGAAAAAAAAAAAACCTTGTTAAATTAAAAGATTTTTCCTATGAGACAGCAACTTGAAATCTGGTGGATCAAACACCTTTTATGTAATATGATTACTTGCAAAATACAAAGACATTTAGATGATTCGCACTAGTGATCAGTATGCTGCAAACATGAGTATTATAGTAGTAACCATGACCCAAGAAAACCACCATAAGTTGCAAAAGGTGATATAACAGATGTAAACTTCATAAGTAGGTAATGGTGACTCAATATTGTGAAATGATAAGAATTCTGTTATTTTATTTTCAATAGAAATACCGTAAGTAGCAAGCATTGTATTTGCAGCAACTACTGATTTATCATGTTATGTTACATCAGTACCGTTTGTTTGCTGATGCAATATCAACAGTTCCTCATTCTATGATAATAATATTTACACACTAAGTTCCTAATAGCTCTCCTAGCTTGGGAAAAGAGATTTTAGTAATAGCCCCTTTGTTAGCAATATACCCTACCCTATCAGACAGACTTCCTCCTCCTCCTAGTCACAAACCACCATGATTTATTTCTGCTGAATTTGTGACAATTGACCAAATAATTTTATTTTTAACTCTCATCTCTCATTAGTGGAGTCACCAGTAAATATTGACGGTATAGGTTATGGGATGGAGAAGGGATTGTAAGTAATGGGTATTAGTAGCCTTTGGATGAACATTTTGGATGTTTAGAGACTATGTTTAAGATTGTAATTATATAAACTTCAAATATCAATCTCCTTATACATAAAAATGTCAAACCTCTCTAATAAACCTATTTTAGCTATTGAACTATTTTGTTCCTTTCTTTTGTGCTAAATCAGTTTAATTTAATTGAATCAGTTTAATTGAAAGTGGCAAAACAGAGTAATAAATAAAATTGGTTTGTAGGAAGTTTTAGTTTTTATAAATAAGGGTTTTACACATTCCTACATATATATAGTTATTTCGTTTCCACATGAAAAATCCACTAAAATTAAAAAGTAAAGGTAATTTCAAAGTGTATACATATGAGGTTAAAACAAAATAATGATAACACTATTTTAAAATAAAAATATCCAAATTTGAGTATAGTAAATATGCTTAAAGTACATTACACTCAACTATATCTGTGATGTTAATGTAAAACTGCAAAATTTAATTCACACAATGGGCAAAGGTTGGCAGCATTGACCTCTGTGATTGGATACCATCTGTTCCATATTGCCTCAATGTATCACAATTGGGAATGATCATAAATATTTCATGAAGCCTCATTACATACTGGAAGCTTACAATTGAGAAAGACAACAAATAAATGTAAAATATTCCAGGCTTCATAAAAGATATAAAAAGATAATATTTTAGAAAAATACATAATTACTATACAATTTTATTTTTCATAATACAGAGTGTTTTTATGGAATGCAATAGGTCAAATTTACTTTAAATTTGGACCATTATAGACAAAATTATAAAAACTAAAACCTCCTAGCCTATTTTAACTATTACACTGTTCTGTCATTTTCATTCAAACTAAAAATTTTGCACAAAAGAAAGAGACAAAACAGTTCAAACAGCTAAAATAGGTTGAAAAATAGGAGAAGTTTGATGTTTTTGTAAATAAGGAAATAATCTGCTCTGATACAATTGCATTCTGATACAATAACGGGTCTACAGTATTCAAGTGTGAAATATGGTAGCAAGCTTAAACATAGAAATAAATGATTCCACTCTAAAATATTGAGAGTAATGACAGATTAAGACATAGGAATTTAAGCATTCAAAATAAATTCTCACATTAAACCTTTGGCAAGGATACTGATGTGTATAAATGACACCTAATGAAAAGATAAACCCTTCAGGATTTACTTTACTCAATATAAATGTGTGCCTCAAACCCTTTCAATGTCTAATCCATTTGTAAATACTTCCTGAGCATCTTTTAAGATAGACCTCAATATAAGGTAAAAAAAAAAAAATTATGAGAAACAGTCAACAAAATACCAGTGATGTCTTTGATAAGGATATATGACCCACAGATACAACAACATGGCCAAACAAACTGGACATGTTCCAAAGAACTAGCCCAATGTGATAATAATAATTGATTAATACAAATGACACTTCATGTATGGGTCTATTCCACTTTAGTCTCTAAAGATTAATTGTAGTAAAATAATAAATAGGAAACAAAATTTAATTAAATATATTTAAGTCTCAATGTTTTTTGCTATGCCATTATAACTTGAAGAATAATGTAAAGTAATGGTTGTGATTTGAGATAAAAATATGCATTTGTTTAACAACTACTCAGGCCTATATATATCCTTTTTAATATACCTATATAAAATATTAATTTAATTGCATAAAGGTTGAATACTTGACCTGATAAAATATGTGCAAATGTGTGCAGTTTGGATCTCACTACATATATTCATACAAGCAACTGTTGATAATGTTACAAGTGCTAGTACCTGAGTGGGCGAACCTCCTGCCGACGAGAGGACTGTCGAGGAGTAAGCGTCGTATGGACCAGCGGCCTAGCAGGCCGCCGCCCCAACCGCAACCACCGCCGCTTCCGCGCCGCATCCCTTCGCGTTCCACCATCACAACAATCAACTTTTACACATTACACACTAAACATCGTTCTAGCTATACGAGTCTATACAAATACGATCACACGACCGACATTACTTCTGCAGATTGTAGATTACCGCTATGATACATTGGCGATTTGCTCACAAGACCTCACAACGGTGTGTTGAGTAATAACCGACCCGCAACGCATCAGAGAGAAAGTACCGATGGTCAGATGGAATGTACGTGGTCGCGGCCGCTTTACCGCAGATGCAGTTTCAGGTGGGGAAGAAAAGCTGTTATCGAATCCGTCCTCTCATTGTTTAACTGAGATAATTCGCTTAAGCCGGAAAGCGTATCACGATAATAATATTATTCGTTAAATATTTAATTTAACAATTTTAACGACCGTACGTTACAATGGTAAAAATAGTAATGCTAAGTATTTTACCAAAATAAAATTAAACAGAACGACCGACGAAAGGAAAAAGTCAGACAACAGCTGTCAAAATGGCTGTAATGTGACCACATTAAAAAAATGTATAGTGCTAACAACTCGACTAAAAGTTGCTAAAAGAAACAAAATGATTCTACTGAAATAATGGACTCCGTAAATGGCTTGAATTAGAGTGTTATTGCTGCTTGTAGGACAAAGACGAAATATCTTTACTTTATAAGTGTCACAAGAGGTAGTAGTTATAAGAAGTCCATTATCCTTGGTATAATATAATAATTTTAGCTACTATCTATACTAATAACACAAACAATATAATATTATATACATTCATTCATTTAGGGTTCATTCTTTGTTGCTATTTCTTTAAATTCATCCTTTGATCTAATATTTTAATTTAATGATTACGGGCAATTATAAGCCATTATAGACTAAATTTGTATTAACTGTGACTTAAGTTTTTTAGAAATTTAATTCATATTGGTATAACACAGATCATATAATACTTAATAATACTATACCTCCTTGTTCTTAGTACTATACTAGTAATTGACACATTCAATCATTGCTCAGTATTGTTCTCTGTGGTGTGTTATCAATAACAATGTCAATTCGTCATAGATTAAGCATAGTATCTGCTTTTTAATTTATTATTAATCTTTTTATCTTTCTCATGCCCCATAATTTTACTTCATTTGATTTCTACCATTTTTAGCTTTTAATTAAAGTCAAAGTCTTTATCATTACTAAAGAAAATGTTGACTCCTTCAAAAACACTTTTAAAACTTGTGATAGTATCCATAACAATAAATTCTGTGATATGTGAAAATAAATACACAAGAAGTGCGAACGAAAAGAAAACAGAGGTGGATTTTAGAACTTTGGATAAACCTTTCAGGATGAATAAACTAAATCTCTTGTGGACAAAAGCGCAACATGTAAGTGTACTTACACAATTTTTCTGCGAACTCACTAGACAAAGAGTAATTGTATTTATTCATCATCATCTCAACCGTTATCTGTCTACTGGTGAACCTAGATCTTCCCTAAATTACTGACATAAGAAATGGTCCAGAGTCACCTGCATCCATCATCCAATTAATTATATTAATTATTTTATTTTATTAATTACAGCGACTAACAGAACCCAAGTTGAAGTCTTTGTACAGTGACTTGATGATACAAGATAAAGAAGAAATCACATACAAGAGAGTAAAAAGTGACGGCGGTGATAAAGAGGGTCTTAAGGAAGCAGATTTGAGACGTAAACTAACAAACATTATGAATAACTATGGCTTGCGTGAGCACTTTGAAGATAATGCTCCTAGGCAAAAGCAATATCCAGTAAGTATATTATTTTAACTTAAAACAAGCTAAAAATATTTTTTTACCATAAGGAAAAATTCTGAAAAAGTTCATTATTTACTAATAATTTTAATTAATTTTTATTAATTTTAATTTTAATTCATAATATTTTCATCTTATACTAAAAGATTTTTTTTATTTATGCAAATTATATGCAATGGCAAACAAGCTTATGGCCCACCTAATGGAAAGTGGTAACTGTCGCCTATAGACATGAGCAGTACCATGGATGTAATATACTGTTTTGCCAATAATACCCCCTATGCATTGCCATTCCTGGGTATTCAAATATTATTCCTCTGTACCCTGTAAATTCACTGCCATTATATTTTTTAAAAAGCCTGAAACTATCAATTTAGGGAATAATATTCTAAATTTTTGTTTTTATGTGACACTCAAAATGGAAAACAGTTATTTGATACTGATAATAATTGTCAATCATGTGTCTTATTGTATACATAAGTTTTTAAGTTGTGAAATACCCAAATTCATGTGTTACTTGTGGAAACCTGCAATGCTATGAAATGTTATCTTATGCAAGTTATCATTAAGAACCACTTTAAAATCTTGGTAAGATAATTTTTCTGTATTGGTAGGATAGTCCTTCTGTAACCTAAGTCTTTGGGGAGACTGAATAGAATGAATAGAATGCAAGTTTTGGTTCATTTTTACTTTGAGGAAACAAATCATATGTGATACATGTTTTGTTCCCTCAAAGTTAAAATAAACTTAAACATGCATGCATTCCAAATTAACATAAACTATATTTGAAAGAACTCATTGGAAAGAACCTGAGCCATTATAAAGATGAGGGACTTATTCACAAAGGATGAATTTTCTCTCCATAACAGCTCTTGTGTTACAAGCGACCATATACTATAGAGACTGCTTACCATCAGACGGGTTGGATACTTTTTGTCAATTTTGTGATATAAAAACATTTTCCATTGTGTCATTGACTTGTCATAAATAATAGTTGTTTGTATAATTTTGTTTTGTTTCGAAGGAAAGTCTCAATGAAATTACAGGGTATGGAGACATAATAATTACTTCAGGACTAGTGATACATGAAGAGTATTATTCACACATCACAGTATATTCTGTAATGTGATGCTGTTCATGTCTATAGACAATGGATATGACTTCCCATAAGGAGGGCTGTTTTTTTTTTTTAATGGATGATAATGGAAGGGTAACTCTGCCTGCACTACCAGTACTTGTTAATATGGCTCCAATGACAGAGATGATAGGTAAGAATGATACTGGGTAGTTAGCCCATAGTGACATATTCATAAAGCATTAACCGAAATGATTTCCAGAGGAAACTGTGTGGTTGACCTGATAGAAGGTTGTCTGGAAGAGATTGCTTAGCGATAAGGCCGCCTTTTGTATCATTTCTTATTACAGTTAAATGTGTTTACTATTTTATAAATGGTGCAATAAAGTGTACATAAATAAATAAATAAATAGAATGCAATGCTAGCAATGGGACTGTTGGGGGGAAAGGGATTGTTAGTAATTGAGACTAAGAATCCCATTGCTAGCAATATATCCACCCAGGTCGATCTCCATGCGATCCCCCCTGGAAACTATCATAGTTAATTCCTGATGAATTCATCATGATGGGCTAACTGACCTGCCTTTTCATTTTCACCTATCATCCCTCACTGGTGCCGCGCCAGCATTTACCGTTAGCGCGGACGGGTTGCCATTCCATTTTAACCCATAAAAAAAAGCAATGGGACTGTTAGATCCCCAGTATTAATAATTTCTTTTCCTCTGCAGTTAGCTCGTTTGCCCTTCCCAATTGCACAAAAAACAATTGCAATACTTTGCACAATTGAAGAACAATTTGTTTGCAGTCAAAATGTCTGTGCAGGCCTTGATATGATGTATTGGCAGACAAAAGAACGCCGCCAATTGTCCCTCAGTATAGAACCTAAATATACCTACTCTACAAGAAAAGATACTCAAAGACTTTCGTAATATTCTATTACACTATTTTGAATTATAATATATCCAGCTATATTTTGATTTTAAATATCAAAAATCGAAAATATATATTTCGATATCTGTGTATCGGTCAAAATTTACGATATCATACCAGATACTATTACCAGAGGGAGACTTTGTACAAAAGTCGATTGCTTGGGTACCTCTGGTCCATTCGTGTTTCAACCGTGAAGCAGTTGTGTTTGCATGGCTGTGTTTCGGTTTGAAGGGTGGGATATAGCGTGAATTTACTGGGTACAAAGGAATAACACCTGAGTCCTTAGGAATGGCAACGCATGGGGGGTATCATGGGCGAAACAGTATACTCTGTTATGTCCATGGTACTGCTCATGTCTATAGGCGACGGTTACCACTTTCCATCAGGTGGGCCGTCAGCTTGTTTACCATTCTAAGTTGTATAAAAATAAAAAAAAAGATAATACTAACTTACTATATCAGTAATAGCTAGCTATTTCCCGCGGCTTTGCCCGCATAAATCAGTATTTATATACTGTATTTGTATTCTTCATTCGAATTTTTTCAATACTAATTTCTTCATTCGATTTTTATGGTATCCTTGGAATAAAAAGTGTGGTGACACGTTCATTACTTTCTCTGCCATTAATAGGTTTCAACAGAACTCATTGAAAAATCAAACAACTTGAAATTAATACAGAAACACTTTCTAAATTAGTAACATATTAAAATATCAATAAATTAATTCTTTTATAAATTGTACTAAGTAACTACTATTAAACATTAGCAGATTGTTCTTTAGTCAGATTCATTAGAAAGAAAAAAAAAGCTTCACTGACAACTAATTGGATTTACAAAACAACCAAAAAAAAAGAGAGTAATATTTATACCATTACCTATTTTTTGTTTACGTTTTCGATAAATTCTATTGAAATAGATTATAATTTCCGTAATGGGCATAAAAATTATACGAGTATCAGGTAATGTATTGGTTCGGCACCAGCATATCGTGATTTATAAATAAGAAAAATCCGTAAATTCGATAGATTAATTTAATACACAAAGCTTTAATACAAGAGTTATCATAACAACATTATACCTATAATAAATCTGACTTATTCCTTAGCGGTTTCGTAACATAGCCTACACATGGTGGTACTTTTAAAACTAATATACCAAATAGGACTCTAAAACATAGACATTCTATATCTTTTTCTTTTTTACATAGAGGCAATTGCATCACTCACTGTTGGTAGATATCGCAACAAATAACTCTCGTAATTTCTAAATTGCATTTATTTTTGCCTGTAGCAAATGTTTTATCCCTTGTGACCATTAAGAGGTAAATTAATAAAGTTTTAAGAAAATCTATTCTGGTCTAAATTAACGTTTAAGAAAGTCAGTTGCCCCACTTTTTGTGACGGTAGCCTCGTCCGGCGGTCATTTAGTGTTATGCCTATTTTAGTAAATATTCGTTCACATGGTACACAGGACGCCATGACGTTTCCATAACTTTGGACCAGCTTGGAAAGATAGGGGTATGTACACTTGTGACCACGCCACCACTCCAGTGGACAGCTCAATTCGTCTCCATTAAAAATTGGCTGCGGATCGTCATTTATATATGTATTGATCTCTTTTAACGCTTTCGACAAAGGACTTGCTGTGTTCATCTTTTGGCCGACTATTTTATTGAGTATAGCTCGAAATCCATCAGCATTGGTACTGCTACTAACAGAGGAAGATGACTGATCCTCTCCGATTTCTTGAGTAATAAGATTGATTAACATTTCTTGTACGTAGTTTTTAGTCTTCGTTGCTTCATCCTCATCACTAAAGACAGATAATTTGTATCTAGGATCCAAAAATGTACATGTACTAAACGTTCTACTCTTTTCTACAAGACCGAATTCAGTCGTCAAACCGGTTTGTAAGCGAGAGATCATTTCTTTTGTCACTTCATGAAATGGTTCTGATTCGAATTTGTCACAAGTCGTCATAAGGCAACGTGTCATTACAATGACAAGGCTTCCAGGCATATATTTTTCATTACTGATTGTTTCTGTGGCTTGGTCAAATGGTTGCAAAATTTTAGATACCTCTGTAAGTAAGTTCCATTCTATATTTGTGACGGCTGGTAAATCACTTTTTTGATCTGTCATTGTAACTTTTATATATTTCTCTAGATCGACAAAGCGCTGAACCATATGGTAGGTAGATTTCCACCGTGTGGGCACTTCTTGTAGGAAGCGTTTCGGCATACAGTCCGGTTGATCTTCTATTTGAGCCTTTAAAATTGACTCCAATGCTGTAGTACTTTTTTTATAATGGCGAACTATTTTTTTAACCTTCTCTAAAATCTTTTGAAGTTCCGGCACAGCTAAGGCATACTCAACTATTGAATTCAAGGTGTGGGCGTAACACCCAAATTGTTCCCATCCGATAATTCTAATCGCTTCTTGCACGTTGTTATTGCTGTCGGATACTATAAAATTTATTTTACCCGTAAGGCCCCATTCGGCTATAACATTGGTTAATAATTCTTGTATATCTTCACTCGTATCGGAATCTTGAAAATTACGACAATCTAACAGCGCGGTTTTCAATTCAAAATCACTGGTCATGTAATGAGCCGTGACGGCTATATATGACTCGTTCAGCTCCCGTTCATTAGCCGTCCATAAATCTATCGTAAGGCATACCGAGTAGTTACACGAGCTTAATGTCGTTTTTAATTCATTTTTGGTCTGGTTGTATAATGCGGGTAACATCACAGTGGAAATTGTTTTTCTGGTTGGCAGTTCATATCCTGGAATCCACCGCGCAAACTTCTTGAACGCTCTGTCGTCGACCAATGAGAACGGTTGATAACTGTCTATAAATAGATCTAATAAATCATCATCAATTTTTTTTCTCATCTCTTTCGTCATTCTTCTGCTAGTACTATCTCTTTTTACGGTTTGTTGCCTCGAAGCCGGCTTTGAAGTTGAGTCTGCGGAAGAAGATGCACCGGGGGAATCGGTCGCTAAATGCGTGGTACATATTAGGAGTGGTTGTTGTTCCTGACCTGTTGTTGATGCTCGTTTTAATTGTTCTGTCATTACCTCAGTATAAGCATCATAGTGCATTTTTTTTAAATGAGCCTTTAGATTCCCTGTAGAGCCTTTGTAGCTATAAATATCGCCACATACTCGACATTTGGCTTTTTTATCAATAATATCATATTTATTGAAATATTCCCATAATGGGCTAGTATGTGGACGAGACATTTTTATAGATGTACTTTTATAATATACCTATAAACACTTTTACTGTTCTTTTATTACTGTATAAATAGTTTCATCTAATTAAAATGTATTCAACCTCTTGGTTCATTCAATATCTTAAAATATGTATTATGCACACTGTTTATTATACGCGTACTTATTAGAGACCTATACAATTTAACACACACTCAATCTCGTTATAATAGGAACTTATAATGTTTACACATATATATGTTATACACTAAATGGTTATTCACTTTATATCGCCTTTAAAATGAAACCGAATAAAACATAAAACCAGTAAATTCGTATCAGATATTATTTTGTATACATAACCTAACTAACAATAACCATTATATTGCGTTATCCTTTGTGAAATATATGCGCCGCTTGATATGAACACGACGACGAATCAGCGGTATCTAATACATAGTTGGCCTGGCGCGTCGTTCGATACTGATATTGGACTATATATCTCTATATATAGATATTTATATGTTTATCGTATAATATGTATCGTCCATGCGGCGTCCCGTGGGGTTGCCAGGTCGGGCGAATTATTGCCTATTGAGCTAACTCTTAAAATTCTCTATAGATGACGTTTGATTAAGCGTTAAGAAAAAAAAAAAAAAACTATGCTTCAAATATTTTAAATGTTCTTGCGTCTTAAACCTTATCATCTTAGTCAATTAATTAGCTGCATGATAAAAATCCCTTTCTATATCGAATTAAATCAATATGATGATAAAATTGAAATTTAACCATAGATATGTAAGTATGACTATTATAGGTCGTTAATAGTAAATAGATCACGGTATCTCAACGATTTTTACGTCAAATCAGGAACTTAGGCGCTCTCCATGTGGTGGCTCAAGAATGCGCCGCGACGCACAGGATAACTTGTATCGCTGTACGGTATAATACATAAAAGCTAAAAAAAAAGCCTTTCTTTACTTTATATTTTACTATGTTTATATTCAGTCTATACAGTTTACAAATGTTACCCACATTTCTCCAATCACATTTCACTTTTCTCCAATAAGAAAAAGTTAGTTGACACGTTGTGTAATGAAGTGAGTTCAAGCGAGTACAATTGCGTGGCGTAGCACAGTATTACCCACGTCTAGTAGTAACTCTCGACGTTTGACACCTTAATTGGATCAAACGTTAGTAATCGCATACACGCGCTAATTACCTTATACCATGATCATGTAAGGAATATTATTATTATATGAATCGTTAACTGTCCCATGCTGAACTTTTCCATAAGAGTTTTGCCAGTAGTTGCAATTTGGGATGATGATTTTTAATCAAGATTTTACTGTAAAAATTTTTATATTAATATTTCGTATCATATGACCGCACAACACAGACAGTACACACCGAATATCGATGTATTGTTTAATGTGAACAATGACATGATAGCAGCGGTACCCCTATGAAATGCGTATACAAAAGAGCAGAACATTTCCTATAACTAACTCCTGTTCCCGAGTATGATGTCAATATGTGACTTAACATAAATTTTTGCCTATTTCATATATCACAATAATCACACTAATTGAATCCACGAGTTTGGCAGTTCTTGATGTTTAAATTTTTCTGTCGTTTTGTATCTTAAACAAAATATCGATTTGATTCACATATCTACTACTATCACTACATAAAAAGTTTTGTATCAAATTGTTAGTAATTACTAATTTTATAATTCGACTATTAAATTAATAATATACAAATTTTTATATTAGAATGTATTTATCAATTATTATTTCGATTTATATCACTGATAATGAAAAACAAGCCCTTTCCTTGCATTCACTATCTTAAAAAAGACGAAATAAAAACAAGAAAAAACTTTTTTTGTATTCAAAGGTGGTAAAAGCAGTATATTAATGACTAAATATAATAAATAAATTACGAAAATTTGTTTATTACTTAATTAACTGATGAGTATCGAAAATTACAAATTCTTAGTAAATATGAGTATACTACATTGGCAACATTATTGACCAATAACTGAAAAAAGGAAAGGACATTCCGGCGATCGGGTCGATTCGGCTACTTTCGTACCGATTCAAGCTCATATGTGAACAATTACTATTGAATGTAATGGACATCTTGTAAACTTGACAAATGCAACATCATGTCTATAATGTTTTAGGCAAATGCATTTCATTTCAATGGTTTTAGCGATTAACGAATTAGTAGTCGAATAAATTAGTAGTCAAAGGTTCTGACAAAATTAAAATTTTAAAAGCGCTCCCAATTTGGTGCAGTAGTTTTCAATGACGCCGGAAGAAACATGCATATAGACACAAAGATGTGGGGCAGGGGGGAGGGATTGTTAGTAATGCGGGCTACCAGTCCCATTACTAGCAATACACGTGAAGGTCGACCCTGTCAGGTCGACCTCCACGTGGTCCCCGTGGAAACTATCGTGTTGAATTCCAGGTGTATTTACCACAAAGGGCTTACCTGCCTACCTATCATCTCTCACTAGTGCCTCGCCAGCGTATACCGTTAGCGCAGGCGGGGTTACCATTCCATCATCAATTAAAAGAAGAAAAATGTAAAATATTGTTTTGCGAAATCTTTACAATTTTATAATTTTGTTAGTAAGATGTACAAATACATATTTGTATATTCATATTTTATAAGAGAAATAGTTACCAATTTAAATTAAAAAAAATTCCACCCATTGATCTCTGAAAAATAGCACGTTTTGTTTTTAATATGTGAGCCATCAAAAGTTACTAATTTTGTTTGACTTTGAATGGCTCGTTTTTTTTATACTAGATATTTCATCATATAATATCAGCTGTTAAGTTCCCACTGCTGAACATAGGCCTCCCCTTGGGGGGTTTGTCAGTAGTTGCCACACTTGACAGGCAGATTGGTAACGCAGGGTTTTTTTTTAATGGGTGATAATGAAATGGTATACCCGCTCGCGCTGTCGGGGTGTATGTATAGGAGGGGCACCAGTGAGGGATGATAGGTGATGATAAAAGCGGGTCAGTTAGCCTATCGTGACGAATTCCACTAGATTTAACCACGACGGTTTCCAGGGGGAACTGCGTAGGGATCGACCTGGTATTGCTAGTAATGGATTACTAAAAATTCTTTTCCCCCTGGTAACACAGTTAGGTTTAGGTAACCTTTTTAGAGGGACCATTAAGTTTTGTAGTACTTAGTCACCTCTTACGACACCCATGCGAAAGTAAGGGGTGACCCATTCTATGCCGGGACCACACACCTTGATACTTTATCCTTATTACAAATCTTTTTATTATTTTCAGGCTTATAACTCGGCCATAGATGACCACATCAATAGGAGTCTATTTAAAGATAAGAAATTGAATCAGTTGTGGGCAAAAGCTGAGGCTTCTGGGTTTACAAGAGAGGAATTGGCAGCCCTAAAGGAAGAATTCACGCATCATCAAGAAAAAATTGATCAGTACTATGATTTACTGAACGATGTGGAAGCTGGCGAAAAGAATCAGTATAAAAGTATGATTATTCAATAATTTATTTGTTTAAACTATCATCATAATCAGCCTACTGGAGTCCACTGCTGGAAATAAGCCTCTCCTAAGGCACCTCACTGACCACAATCTTTAGCTCTTATTTTCCAGTTTTTACCAGCCACTCTATGTATGTTGTCGGTCTATCTAGTCACAGAGAGTCCCACACTATGCTTGCCTATACGTAGTCTCCACTACAGAATACATCTGCTTCAACGATAGTCGGTTTGACGACAGATATGACCAATTCACTACCACTTCAACTTGAAAATCCGCTAAGCTACGTCGACAATTTTGTTCCTTTGGCGAATTACTTTGTTTCGGATCCTATCCCTCAGAGAAACTCCAAACGTAGCTCTTTTCATCGCTCGCTGAGCGACTGTCGACTTAGTGAGTTTAAACTTTATTGACCTATAGAATGTGGTACATGAGGTGGACTTAACGCTATAGGCAATATGACAATGGCCCATTCATGATAAATTTAGATCTTTTATTCCCTGTAACTGACACAAAAAGATTGAGCGTAGAATACTTTTGTGCAGTCTTTCATTAATAATTAACAAATTAAAATATATGCTTCTATATGCAATCTATAATACAGGCTGTATTATAGATTTTCCTTACTTAAACAACCTAAAATTTCAGATGCTATAAACGAGGACGAGTTAGAACAATACAATGAAATTGACGACCACCGTTTAAAAACAAATGAAATTAAAAATGACTACCTAGATAAAGCTAATTTAGTCAGAGAAAAACATAGAGGGCTCCGAGATGGAATGGACAGATTGCAGAGGATTACTGCCAGAGGTAATGTTTAAAGCATTGTAATAATGAAAATTATTCACGAATTTATCATTTTCCGTCTTTTATTACTTGATTTATTGATTTTCTATTATTATTATAGGGCCAAACAACAAGGAATTTATAGAGCCAAAAGTGCAGGGTCTGTGGAGAATGGCAGCTGCAGCTAACTTTACTGTGGACGAGCTGGCATCTTTAAAGGTAAAATTTATATTTTAGTCCTACTATTACTGAATAAATCAATCATTTAAATAAGTAGAAGACCCACAAGTTTCGTGTTATTAATATAATGTAATGCATGTGTTAGGTTGCAACAATTTGTATAAAAACTAGCTATTTGCCCACTACTTTGTATGCGTAAATTTCAGAAGCAAGAAAAATCAATAAAAATGACAAGTTCTAGATGATGTATCAAGATAAACCAAAATTAGATTTTTAATTTGACTTTCAAGAATACACCTGTGAAGAGCGCATTCAATTTGGTGCCTACTGCACCAAATTTTTGTACAATACCGGAACAAACATACCTACAGATAATATCTAACAGTTCTCATTTTCAGTTCCATTGCTCTCAGACTCCTTATATAAATTTAATTTTATTATATTGTAAAGACATTGTTTAGTTATTTTATTATATTAGTAAGCCAATTCCAACCTTAATTTATATATATATATTTTTTTATTATATAAACTACTTGACGCTGATTTTCTTATCTGTTCCTAGGTGGAGCTGCAGCACTACGAATCACGACTTCTCAAACTACGCACGTTGCATGCTGATCATGTAAGAAATGTAGACAAATATAAAAGCAAGGTTATTCTTTTTTTTTTTTATTATTTTTCCGACAACTTTATATAACGATGGTGTGTGGTGAAATATTTAATTTTACTACTAGGTTTCGGATTCTTAAATACTACATGTATAATATATAGAGTAATTTATACAGGTTTATCATTTTAATTTATACAGGTATATCATTAAAAAAAAAAAGCTATTCAATGAAAGTAATAATTTTCCTCATAAGTTTAGAAACGAGGGTTGAAGAAAGACAAAAAAGAAAATATTTGAAGCCTCCCATGCTAACTTGACAGCTGGACGCATCATATTAAATATGAAGATCAAAATTTGACATTTTTCGACGAATTTAGTAATAGCAACAGAAAACATTTAAATAATGTATGTCATAATTGTTTAAATTTCTTCTAGCAAATATTTCTTGTAGCCTGTATCATAGAATGTTTTATTAAATCAGAGTTATGATGCAGGTGGCAGCGGCCGGTGACAAGTTGGATCACTTTGACGACCAGCAGCAGATGATCAAGAAGCACTCGCGGAAAGTCGAGAAGATGCACGCCGATCTCGAAGGCAGAATACTCCAGCGTCACTCAGAGTTGTGAACTATGTTGTATAGTGTATAAATACTTTATAATATTTTGTAGTAGAGAAATAGATTATAGTGAAGTCTTATTGGTCGGCTATGACTGATTTGAGCGGCGTATACTATAAAACATGTATATGTATATGTATATGTACGGAGATAATATGAAGGCTGTAATTCGTCACGTGGTATAAGTGTCATATTGATTAGGTTAAAATGTGACTGAATTTAGTTATTTTTGATGGATTATCTCCATACATTTATATTTATCGCTCACCACGTCGCACTAATGTTACAAAGAATCCCAGATTGAAAATTCTAATTATTTTTCCTGTAGCTGGAAGAACAATATTTGTATTGTCCACAAAATTTGTGACTTCTTAGCAAGGTAACAGTGGTATATCATGACAAAGTTTCACTTCTTTGAGATCAAATTTGTATGAATTTATAACAACACAAGATGCATTTATTATTATTTAGAGGCATTCAACATGGTAGACATTTTATAAAATTTCTCCTCTGTCAAATTGCAAGTAAATTATTATTAGATTCATTAATAGATGTTGTATTATACAATGCAGCTATTTTCATTTTCGAAACGTTTTTGGCAAATACTTATTTTTAAATTGCTAGTAAAATAATTTTTAAAATATAAAAAAAAAGAGATTAAAAAATTGAAATTTAGAATAGATAACAAAATAAGTTAATTGCTAAAATAAAAGAAAAAAATGGGGGAATGAGCAAATAATATTTCACAATAGATATAATGTACGTTGTTTCCAATGTTGAATGCGTGAAACTTAGAGTCTTAGCTAATTTTCAATGACTAAAATTCTGTGTGGTATTCATGTTACATATCTCTTGAAAAAATTGTTAACGAGGAATCTCCCAGTAATAAGTTCTATTGTAATTATATATTTGTTTTTAAATAGTGTTTCATTTTGAAAATAACTATTTACCCCCTATTCCTTGCGCTTCCTCGCGCATTTTTGTCAACATCCATTCTTATAGGAAATTACCATAAGAAATATAACTTATAGTACTCTCAGGCTATTATTTTATTCTTTGCAACATTTGTAATATATCCCTATATTAGAGAATATATACCATATCAAAACTTTTGGTATAGACAACAAGGTGCTTAACAAGTTGTCTCAATTCCTGGATTCAAAGGTATTGCCAGAATACCGTATGTGGCCCAAAGAGATTTTTTTCCTGTTTAATTTTGACAAACAAAAATTGAAACTTAAAATGATATAATAAACATCATATATTTGTTTGAACACCATTAGCATTGGACAAATCAGAAAAAAATATAAATAGATAATAAAAATGAAATAACAATATTATTGAAATGAAATAACAATATTATTACAGTGAAATTACAGAGAAAGGAAGAAAATATCAGTATTCTCAGATAGGACAACACATGAGAGGTATTTTGGAATAGTTGATTAACACGGTAATTTTCATGTCTATATAGATGACCGGTTACGATATTCCATCAGGTCGGCCATAGACTTGTCATTCTAAATTACAATCGTTATTACATGTAACGCTTTTACGTGTACGTAATAGCGTGTTCCTTATAAAATAATTGGCTACCTATTTAGTTTCAGCCCGGGCAAATGATATGCTTCAACAGAATTGGTATCTGTTACTAGACCTGTAAATTATGCTGCGATGGAATGACACGTTAAAATTGAGGCTCTAGTCAAGAACACACGCATAATATTTTGACATCGGTTTATTTGCCTAGAACTTACCGCATATCCTGCATTTAATATTCGAGACAAAGTCCTCAATAATAATTTACTTATAAATATACACATTACCCAAATAAACCTATTTAAAAAAAAAATGAATCACTGAAAAAACAGGTGGTCTTATTAAAAACACCAGTGTATACAGTGCATCAATATATGATATTTAATCTTCATGTACAAGCAAATTTATTAATACACGTTTATAGTAATTCCGTTTTAGATGCGAGCATATAATCATATCAATCATAGAAATTAATATCGTATTATGCCATAATATAGTGTAAAATATGTATAATAATGGCGGCGGGGCGCAGAGCGCACAAGGCAACGCAAAACACAGAGCGGCATTTCGGAATTACATTCCAAGCTACCTACTATTACACCGTACGCGTATATCTACATCGGATGAAAACGACGCCGACTAGCATAACTATATAATTTGTCTAAACGCAGAGTAGTCGGCGGACACCAGTAACAAATAAAACTACATCCGATTCCCCTCACGAGTTTCATTACAATGAATCCTTTAATGCTCACTTCAGTCGATCGTACAGTATAAGTAGTTTTCATCTCGATAGGACATTTTTTTTCTATTATGTATATAGATAATCTTTATAATATAATTCTTTCTCACTAATATCTACACCGTTTCCAAGGGTTACAATTATATATAATCCTCGTCGGATAGGTCAGACGCGCGGTCGACGGCAGTCGGCGCCGGGGCGGCGGCGCGCGTTACTAAGGCAGTATCGTCTATGCCGGGTCTATACGGGCCTCTAGTGAGTCCATTTGCTCCAAGCCTGCAAACAGACACCAATATGATACTTCAAATTATAACATCATTAATGATAATTGTGTTCATATTAAATTTACTCATATACGGCGGTTTCAAAAATACTTGACTTCTGTCTTAGACTTTCTCGACGATCTTTGTAATCGCGTAAGTCAGTCCCTCCGGTACTTGGATTTTATTTTTACTTTACAGATCTGACCATCATACCCCATTACAAAGTACATAATGTTACTATTGCAATAGGATCGTTTTTCTGTACTTTATAAGTGTCATATTTTGAATAAGTGCAATAAATAAGGCATACAAATATTGTCCAATAAGACTAATAGAGCATAACTATAGTGAGAAACCGATTTTTATCAGTTTAATTTTTACACATGCATCCAGATGAGATGCTCCATTTTGTAGGAAGAGAATGTACTGTACCTGCTTGTCAGGGTGGTGGTGCGGCTGGTCCCAGTGGTGGTGCGGGTCGGTAGGCGTGGGCGCGGGCGCGGGCGCGGGCACGGCCGGCAGGTACTGCAGCGGCAGCGCCTGCGACATCAGCGACAGCGCCGCCGCCGTCGCGCTGCCGCCCACGGCGCCCACGGCGCCCACCGCGCCCACGGTGCCGTACGCGCCCTCGAGCCCGTGCCCCACGCCCACGTGGCCGACACCCACGCCACTCATTCCGCTCACACCCTGCGTCAACGTGTTGCCGTATTCAATAAACGCTAAATTGATGTTTTTAAAAAAATGACACTAGTTTTATGAACATTTATTTATCTATCAAAAGCTATGTCCACAATTGTTATAAATATGAGTACTTACTACCAGAGGGTGACTTAGTACAAAGTCGTTTGCTTGGGTACCTCTGTCCCATTCGTGTTTCTACCGTGAAGCAGTTGTGTTTGCATGGCTGTGTTTCGGTTTGAAGGATGGGATATGGCAGTGAATTTACAGGTTACAGAGGAATATTACCTAAGTCCACAGGAATGGCAACGCATAGATTATCATGAGCAAAACAATATACTCTGTTATGTCCATGATACTGCTCATGTCTATAGACGACGATTACCACTTTCCATTAAATGGGCCATCAGTTTGTTTGCCATTCTAAGTTGCATAAAAAAAAAATACCTGGTATCGGTCGTGATCCGCGATGGGTCCGTGATAGGGGTGGTGTAGGTGTGACCAGTCGTCGCCGGCGGTGAGCTTCCAGGCGCGCTCGGTACCGATGGGCCGCGGCTTGCGCTCTTCCTCCTCGCCCCAGCCGCTGCTGCTGCTGTTCACGCCCACGCCCACACCCACTCCCACGCCGATACCACGCTCTAGTAAGGACTGAAACCAGGCGTAACTATTGAAGAATCGTTCCACAAAAGAGTCGATTTTAATATTGACGAATTTTGTATGGAATCTATAAAAACGTAACTATAAAGTTATTATCAAAATTATGTTCTAAATTAATTATAGTATATACTATTGATTTCCCTTAGACGCCTTTTAGAAAAGAAAATGTAATTTGAACTTTTTCTTGAAAGAAAATAGAAATAAATAAAGAAAAAAAAAATTACAAGTTTAATCCCCACTGAGGAATCCTATTTGAGATCCCATCACAACAGTGATCAATGTAAGGGCAGTGCAACCTGCTTGCAATCATATTCAGGGTGCCATTGGTACTGCTTCGCACCATACGCACCAGTGACGCGCATCTTTTATACATTATGGCATAAAAGCAATCTACGCGGGCTTCTGCAAATATCCTTGATGAACTATAAAATCGTGGTAACCACAACAACACCCTGAATGCATTATTATATTAAATACGAATGTCGTTACAGGATTTATATAAATTTTTGGGTATACCTAGCTAACAGACTAATACATATAAAAGAATGCACAATATGATCTAAATGAAGTGATTTTTGAATGTTTTCAGCAACTCACTTGGTAAGGATGCTGTTGTTGCTGTGCATGTTGAATAGATTTGGGGGTCGGCTGCTGATACGAGAGCATCAGCGCGCTCAGGTTGCCCGCGGTCGTCGCGTTCGTTGTAAACATCTGCAAACAGGGTTAAACACATCAACGCATGAACAAGCTGATACCTAAAACTGACTGAAGTTTAAAATAAGAACATCACAGAATGAAACTGAACATAACTTATTTACCATTCACGAGGATTAAAGCTCTATGTATAGTAATATTTTTGAAATTGGGGCAGTCGAGGAAGAATGAGCAATCGCTAGTTTAATCTTACCAGAGAGGGATATTTTCTACAAAAGTCGTTTGCTTGGGCACCTCTGTCCCTTTCGTGTTTCTACTATAAAATAGTTGTGTTTACATGGCTGTGTTTCCGTTTGAAGGGTGTGAATTTACAGGGTACAGAGAAATAATATCCGAGTCCTCAGGAATGGCAACGCATGGGGGTATAATGGGCGAAACAGTATACTCTATGTCCATGGTACTGCTCGTGTGTATAGGAGACGATTACACCACTTTCCATCAGGTGGGTCATCAGCTTGCTTGCCATTCTAAGTTGCATAAAAAATATTTCATCTTGAGTTATTTAAAATATAAATATTGAATTAAAAAAAAAATCAAATAATGTTTTTTTACAGTTATCCAGAGTCATTTACTGCAATAGAAAGTGGTATTGTCTGATCTAAATTTCTGTACTTAATTACGCTAACTGGACTGCATTATAATGCCCTTATTCATCCAATACACCTGTACTATACAGGTGTACCAAATTTTACAATGATTGGGTAAGCTGTTAAAGTGTTAAGTATAACAAACCAACACACCACTTTTACATTTATAATATTAGGATTTAGTACAAAATTGGTCATAGTCAAGGAACAGATTTTCTTATTTAAAACCAAGATGGGTTACAGTAGTTATCGTCATTATATAGTAGAATAAGTGGCTGATCTGATCATCCTCAAGTCTAACTGGCGATCAAAACTGCGGTTTATCTACCTTTCATCAAATTTAAAACTTTTATATATTTATATTATGAAAAATGCTACAGTGGAGTTTCTTGTCCATTTTTTTCAGCTGAAATTTCAATGCAATTCAAATTTCAATTGAATTCGTAGTAAAATAATAAAAAATGACTATTAAAAATGCTTGTAAGTTTTCTGGAATACAATATATTCCAGGAAACTTACAACCATATACTTACCATCAGGTGGGCTGTATGCTCGTTTGCCACCTCAGTGGTATATAAAAAATATATATTCTTATTCTAAAACTAGTATTAAGTGTTACCTGTGGCTGCTGGTTGTGCTTGTGCTGCATCAGTGGATGCCGCTGCGAGAAGTCGGGCGCGCGCGGGTTGAGCCGCGACACCGCCTCCACGCCGACGCCGCCCACGCCGCCCACGCCACCCACACCACCCACGCCACCAACGCCCACGTAGCCGAGCCCCAGCGACGTGCCACTCATGTTCACGCCGCTTGACATCGATACCTGGAAGGAAAGGGATTGTTAGTAATACAGACTACAAATCTCGTTGCTAGCAATATACCCTCCTATCAAGTCGATCTCCACGCGGTTTCCCCTGAACACTTCTTCTGGTTAATTTTTGTGGAATTCGTCATGATGAGCCAACTGATCTGTTTTTATCCTCATCTATCATTCCTCACTGATGCTCCACCAGCGTATACCGATAACGCAGGTGGGGATACCGCTCCATTATGATTAGTAAAAAAAACAGACATTGATACTTGACAATCGTGTGCATTGTTAGATCTGTAGTCTGGAATTAAGTATTAGGTAATGACATTAAATGTATTTTTTATACATATTATGTAATCATTTGATATATACCAACAAATTCTTTCTTCAGGAATGTGTTTAGTTTTATGCACTATCAATTTCCATATAAACTTTAGGTATACTATTTTTATATTTATTCTTTACAATATAAATCATCTAAATACAAAATATTACATTGTGTATTGGTGACTTATATTTTACGAATCAGAAAATATTAATTACAGAAATTAGAAATTTTACCATTATACTGTGTCCATTCCGTGAGTTGTCTTGATAGACAGGTCCATTCCGGGATAATCCACTCATGTCCATAGCATTAACATTGTTGCCTGTGAAATTGAAATACTTTATTTAATATTTTGTTATTCTTAACCCCACATTACGTCATAGTTATAGAATACTGACGGATCTGACAAAAATTACATATAAAGATCCGTCAGTATTCTACGACTATGACGATTATATTGGATGAGGAGTAAATATAGAAAAGGCAGTTGTGTTAGTAATAAATTCTTTAGTTGCGAGTAAAAACTCAGAATTATAGAATTGATTTTCCCTAGAGCCTACAGTATGGGGTTCTTAAAAAATAATGTATTAAGGTTTCTTTAAGTTCGACAATACGCACGTGACACCCCTGGTGTTGTAGATGTTTATAGGCCACAGTAACTGTTTATAATTAGATGGGCTGTATGCTTGTCTATCACTTTCTTGGTAAAAAAAAAAATTAGGAAATTAAAATTTGAGTGTTATGAAGAAAACATATTTTACATCTTGATATCGAGATTTGATTACAGCAATTTTTTTAAAAATAATTTCATATAGAAATTTTATCAGATTTTGCTAATAAGGCTAATTTCTAGAAACCATTCCCGACTATTTAATAATATTTATAAAACCCACAAAAAGGTTTTATTTTAAATCCACATATGTATTTAAAAAACTAACACAGTAAATTAAAATATGGCCGCCAACATGCAACTATTGAGCAATATAGCATCAGTGACGTCACAGGGAAGTAACGCTCTAGTGTCATACATGAGTTTTTATTTTTACTATTTTTTACTGTCTCCCAAGAAAGAAAATGTACAAACGGTGTGTTGTGTCAGTTAGCACAAATATTACTGTAAAGACACTGAAAAAACTGTTCATTAGTGTGCCGAAAATAATTACAATACGCAAAAAGTAATTACACCTTGATCATAGAAATCCTAATGCATTAGTATAGTGAACGATTTAACGTGGATGCATATTTTGCTGTGTCAACCGTTTATTGTTATAAAGAAGAATCGGTATTGGTGACGGTTAGTGGTGTCTGAGTGTGCAGGGTACTGACCTATGGGCATCTGCTGGTGGTACTGCTGCTGCGCGTGCTGCGCGTGCTGGGCGTGCTGGGCGTGCTGCGCGTGCTGCGCGTGCTGCGCGAGCGGCGCGTGGTGCGCGTGCGCGGGTGCGTAGGCGGGCGGCGGCGTGGAGCCGTGCGACGACGCGCGCGAGCACGGCGAGCAGCCGCCGCCCGCGCCCGCGCCGCCGCCCCCGCCGCCGCCCCCGCCGCCGCCGCCGCGATACCCGGGCGCCTTGCTCACGTCCACCTGCCGCACACCACAACGCCGCGTCACTACCGCGCACAACGCACACCCAGCGGGGGGAAGGAATTGTTCATAGCGGACACTAACAAGCCCATTGTTAACAATATACCCAACCAGGTCCACCTCCTCCTAACTATCACGGTTAAGTCCTGACGAATTCATCATGACGAACTAACTGGCCTGTTTTCACTGGTGCTCCGCCATCGTATCCCGTTAGCGCAGACGGGATCACCATTTCATTATCACCCATAAAAAAATACACCAACAACCCACTACTAATATACTTGTCGCTGTATACGATCGTACGGAACTGCTCACATTTGATTTGCTAATACAGCCACACCAAGAAGACTCTTTGTACAAGTTATACAATCAAGACTTTGGTACCTCTCCTTCACCAGTTTCTGCCATAAAGAAGCTGTGCTCACATGGCCACATTTCGGTTTGAAAGGAGAGAGATATGGTAGTGAATTTATAGAATACAAAGACATAGCACCATAAAACTCAGAAATGATAATGCACGAGAGATACTATAAACATCACAATGAATTCTGTGATACTGCTGGTTCATATCTATAGGTGACTATTTCATTAGGTGAATTTTCAGCTTACATATTCCAACGCGTCGAAACACATTCTATACTAATCTATACTAATATTATAACGAAGTAAATTTATGAATTTGGATGTTCAGGGTAATCTCTGGTACTACTGATCAGGTCATATTACGGTTATTATGTCAGCGTAACACTGAGGAATACTTAAACTCAGCGTCCGTTATTCGATCGACAGTAATTCAGTAAAGGTGCATGTCCTCCCACAAGACAGTCCCTGTTATCCCAGCGACTGAAGATACTTGGTAGATGGAGCTAGCCATGGAGTAGTGCGTACCTGTGGCGGCGGCGGGTCGACGTTGTGGTGCGGCTCGGCGGCGGGCGGGGCGCCGCCCCACATGCCGGCGCCGCCCGTCGACAGGCCCTTGAACAGCGAGTACTCGGGCGGACACCCGCTGCCGCCTCCGCCGCCTCCGCCACTCGCACCGGCTCCGCTGCCGCTACTGCTCGACTGCAATCGACACCAAATCACTCATTGTGGTGTTTATATATGTAATTATATTTTTATGATTTCTCAAATGCTGGCTTGACTCATATTGGGACTATTTTTAAAACAAAATTCTTGTTATTGTACTAGTTTTTTTTGCCTAATACTGTGTACTCGAGAATTTCAAAATAGATAATAAAATACACCTCTTCTAGACGGTGTATGTGGATAAAACATGCACCACATTCTAAAGTAAAACTTCAGGAATACAACTGTAAAAACCGTATTTAATTTGGTTTTAATGCGACGCCAGAATATTAAACAATATTTTAAAAAAAAATCTGTTTTGGCATCTATTAACCTTATTGATATCCCATACATCAATATTTCTTAAATATCTCCATGTAGAAATAATTTCGTTTAAATTTCATTTTATTAGAGTAAATAGCTTTGTAGGATCAATATTGCAAATTCTGCCCATCTAGTAATTATATATATTTATTAAATTAATATATGTTATCATACATAGAAATTTCTAATTTGGCAAATAACTTCTATCGTATCTGTTGTTTTTCTGGAACCACCCTCACTGTTATAACTTTTTATGGAAAAAGCTATTATTATGTAGGGTACTAAAACATAACCTATCATCAGTTGTAATATGCCATTCACAATAAAAAACCATGATTAATTTGTGTTGTTCCTTATTTGATATATATATATAGTGTATATAGTAGAACAGAGATGAACAATGAAGTAACATACCTGCGGCGTAGTGTTAATATGCAACGCAGAGGTGGGATTAGTCGCGCTATCTTCGTTTGAATTCCAAGCGTTTGTATTGTCAGGACTTAGCTGCAAATTAATGTTTATTATTAGTAAAATTATAATTAATCTAATTATTTGTTTAGTTTTTTTAATACACGTAATTGAAAGTTAAGAAGCCATGAAAAATGTATTGATATTTCTAAAATTTTGTATATCATGGTGGCTTTTTAGTAGGGTAGTATGTAAAGTAATCATATCATGTATTTTAAATCAATATAAGTATTTTTTTTTTATACAACATAGAATGGCAAACAAGCTGACGGTCCACCTGATGGAAAGTGGTAACCGTCGCCTATAGACATGAGCAGTACTATGGACATAACAGAGTATACTGTTTCGCCCATGATACCCCCCATGCGTTGCCATTCCTGAGGACTTAGGTGTTATTCCTCCGTACCCAGTAAATTCACGCCATATCCCACCCTTCAAACCGAAACACAGCCATGCAAACACAACTGCTTTACGGTTGAAACACGAATGGGACAGAGGTACCCAAGCAATCGACTTTTGTACAAAGTCTCTCTCTGGTAAGTATAAGTATATGCTTTATTGACTATCCTTACATAAATAAATAAATAAATAATGATACCCTTTGCAATTTTGTTTATAATATATAAATTTTGTTTATAATATATATATATAAGGGGGATGTTTTCCATTTCAAATAGAGAATATTGCCAGAGAAGTTAACATTTTTTTTTTATTTTAATAATATTTATTCGATTTAAGTCAGCTCAATTACCATTATAAACATCAAATATTTATTGAAAAATAAAAGTAACATGAAAATACATTGTTTCTTTTATTTTAGTTAAATTTCATCCAAATACTTGTTGTACATATGTTACATAATATCACTTTACGTATTAGAACATGTTATTATGAATTACATGACTCCATGCCGATATACTAAAAATATTTGTATTCATGAGTATGATAGTTCGTATTAATCCGAGTGCTATAAAAATGTATTTAAGTATCAATTATCTATAATACTTGTATAATCTCTACCTAGTTTTGTTTTAAATATATTAAATAATGCAATATGTTTAATAGTATTTGTTTTATATATATAAAAGGGCGAATGTGTGTACTTGCGAGTACGTACCTGCAGCGTGCAATCTGCGTGCGGCCGCAGCTCTTCTTCAGCGGCAGCGGTGGCCGCAGTGGTGGCGGTCGACGTCGCCACCGGGGAGGCCTCGCGAGCACCTCGCAGTGGTGATACGTTACTTCCCGCTGTCGACGCTGGGCTTGCGCCGCTCAACTGTACATTTAATTTGTATAAATATTTTTATGTATCATTCAATATGAAAAAATGGGCAGTAGCTACATGCAACATGTGCCCATTTGTAATAAAAGTTGTATTACAAATTGTATATGGATGGAAACAAAAGGTAAAAAAAAAGAGGAGGCAATAAGATTAGCCCTTGGAACTTGACGATTTTTGTCTATCTTGTAATCTCTTATTCGATTTGTTTTAGTTGTTGTTATTGTATTATTTTGCTAGTAAAAAAACTGCTAGCAGCATAACACGTATATTACATTTTTATAAACAGACATGTCAAACTTGAGTGGTTTGTCTGTGGTGAAGAGTCTCGCTGTGTGTCCTTACTAAATTTGCACTGGCATCTTTGTTGACACTGGTACCTTTAATATATTGCTAGTTGTTAGAAATATTTTTCAAATTTTCAATTATCAAATTCCTAACATTATTCTTTTTTTGAAAAATTTGGGTTGCACCTCCAAACTTTTTAAAATGATTTTTCTATGAAACTATGATAGATATTTGAATAAAACCAAAACGACATGGAAGCTCTTAATAAGCTTTATATTATATATTTTTCAATTCCAATTAATTATAAGGTTGCAAAAAACATGAGCTAATGCAATATAGCTCCCTTTGTCAGTTTTTTTCTTGTAATGTAATATGGGGCTTTTTAAAAAAGTGCCTAAAAACATTTAAAAGACCTTTTTTTCTAAGTGAAAGTATCATATTACAGAACTCTCGAATTTCATTATTACACTCATCGACTAATTATTTCGTATTCCTTAAAAAAAAAAAAGTATTGTATATCTATTGACTTTCAAATAAATCATGTTTTAAGAAGTAGGCAAAGGAAACCTCCGCAGGTGATTAGCGAACGTACCTGCGGCGCCGGACGCGGCTTGTCGGCGTGAGTGGCGTGAGTGGCGTGAGCGGCGGGCGGCGGCGGCGGCGGCGCGGCGGAGGGCGGCGGCGCGCTGCTGGCGGTGAGCTTGGCGGCGAACGTGTGCGAGCGCGCGCCCACTATCGCGCCCGTGTACGACAGCGACGACTTCACGCCGCTCGCAGCCGCCGGCGCTGGCGTCGCCGGGCTCGACGTCGACGACCGCTTGTCGCTCGCTGACACTGCGCACCGTTACACTCAGTATCACATATACTCTTATATATTATATTCATATGATTACAAACTTTCTATATATAATGTGGATAAATATTACTGCAGCCTCAAGCTCGTCATTATACCTACTGATTTCTTTTGTACTATTCTTGTTTTATTTTCCTATTTTTGTTTTAAACACCAATAACGAAACTAGACGCAAAAACGATGTACGACACAAGCATATAGAATAGCACAGACGAAGTAACCATTAAAAAGTCTTTATTTATTCCTTAAAAACAAAACATATAAATTTTCTCAAAAGTTTTGGTTGTATTTCGATTCATGTTTATTTCATCCTCTCCACTCCAATGTCGAGTGTCACTCGACATTGATTTTGTACCATACCAAAAGGGATTATAAAGATTAAAATTAAGAATTATAATATAGTATCCTGTAATTACTCATAAAGTTTATCATATAAGAAAAAATCAATTTTATTTACAAAATACGAAAGACCCCCTAAAAGTTCATAATGAATTTAACCTATATGCAACCGATGAAGCAAATTAAAGCACTTCCATTATAAAGGTAACGAGCGGCACTCACCGTGCGAATGCACCCTGGACGCCGGTCGAGCGGGCGTTGCCAGCAGAGGGGTAGGGGCGGCAGCTGAGGCGGCGGCGGGGGTCGCGGCCAGCGGGGCGAGGGCCGCCGTGTGCTTGGCGCCCCGCGACGCTGGTGTCGCTCGGCTGCTGGCGCCTCCGCTCGCGCCTTGCTGCTGCACCGAAATGTTAACCTTATAACCTATACCTCTAAGACCACAATCTTATCACAGATATATCATGTTTGGCCCTGCAATTTTGTAAGAGAACTTCTCAAGAGCCTGATAAATATACAAAGATTATTTGAAAAATAGAAAACCTTTTATTCATTGATCAATTTATTGGCACAAATAATTTTATAAGTTTATAACACATTTATTACATATTTACATTCCTCTGCATCCGAGAGTTGCCTGGAAGAGATTGCTTTTAGCGATAAGGTCGCCTATTGTTTTTTCAGTGTAACCTTTCCTTGTAGTTGTTTGTATAATTTTTTTAAATACGTTTACTATTGTAATTGGTTTATTGCCCTGAACTACTACAGACATTAAAACTAAATGTACCAATTAAGTCTTGAAGGCATAATTCTACTCTATTTGGCCCACTAGTGTCATCAAATTATAGACAAAATTCGTTCCTTTGGCGAGCTAGCAACAACTTTAATACTCTTTCTAGAACTCTTCATATCCATCTATTTTCAAGAAATATAATATCAGTGGGAACATTACAGTACGAAACTTCTTATTAATTTCTGATTATTTTGCCTGTTCCCAAAGTTTATTTTAAAAAGATACTATATGACTACTATATTTTTTTTTTGCCTTATTTTCTTTTATCTACTGTACTAATTTACTGTTATTACAATTATGGTTGTGTATATAGGGATGTAATATGTAGTTACAATATTTATACATAGTTGTTAATGCACCACCTACTTAATTTTCTGCTTGTCTCATGGTTGACTGGTAGAGAAGGCTATTAAGTGTTAAATCCGCCATATGTAGACTTACTTTTAATAATTATGCATTGAAGTTTAAATAAATAAATAAAATATGACGTACCTTTGGCGGTGGTTGTTTGGGCGTCTTTGGCTGTAGTGGTTGCGGCTGAGGTTGTGATTTGGCGGCGGCGGCGCGCGGCAGCAGCTGCGCGATGTCGGCTTCCGGGTCGCGGATCATGGCCGCGATCAGCGCACCCGCCTGCTTCGTCGCCTCCGCTGAACCCCTGTCAACATGGAGTTATTAATTTATTCATTTAAATAACTTTGTTGACATAAAGAAAATATGGTACTAAAGCGGAGTTAATGCTATATGCATTATCCTCCAGTCAACCCTGTTTATAAAATATGCTGGGGGTCTACCAAGAAATGGAATTCCGAATTTTCGGACTCAATTTCGTGTTTTTGTACATACCGAAATCGACGCAATAAATGGAGCTTAACATTTCGTTTGTCATAAATCCGACTAGCATGTCTCTGTATATATAAACAAACATTGTTCTATAGTAAGCGAGTACTGACTTGATGGTAATAATTCGCTCGCCCTGGCCCTTGCTCTGCTTGTCGACCTCGATGTGCGCGCCGGTGGCGGAGCGGATCGCGTTAATGTTGCTGCCGGCGCGGCCGATTACACGCGATATCGCGTGCGACGCCACCGACACTTTCTTGCACCTATACAGTTACGTACAATCTATTTATATGAAAATAGCATTAGTATATTATATACATAGACAACACTTTAGTTGTCTATAAAGAACGTTTGTAAAAAATAGACATTTTGTTTGTCGATAGAAAATTTGCGTGTACTGTATATTTATCACCAAAGTCGATTGCTTGGGTACCTCTCTCCCATTCGTGTTTCAACCGAGAAGCAGTTGTGTTTGCATAGTTGTATTTCGGTTTAAATGGTGGGATATGGTTGTAAATTTACAGGGTACATAGGCATAACACCTTAGTTCTCAGCAATAGCAACTCATGGGGGGGTGTCATGAGTGACACAGTGTACTCTGTTATGCCCATGGTACTGTTGATGTCTATATGCGAAGATTACCATTTTCCAACTTGACAAGAGATTAGCTTGTTTGCCATTCTGAGTTGCATAAAAAGAATTCATTTTAGTTCTTACCCAGGCTCGACGGTAGATAATGTCTGTACGCTTGATTTGCGTACGACCTCCTTCCATCCCTCCTCGCGCCTGCCGCCGACGCAACCACTCTTAGGCGAAGTGCTCTTGCCTTCGATCTCCCATCTATTTATACATTTGCAACATTAATCATTTGGGAAGCAATAACTTTTATAACATTGAGAAAGAATAAAATTAAAGAGTCAATAATTTACAAAATTAGTTCTGAAGAAGTGTATTTTTAAAGATTTCAGGGCTTGTTAAGTATTGAACTATCACATTTGCAGTATAAAGCCAATGAAAGATTTTATTTCAAATTAATTATGATTAACAGAATTTTTACTTATTTTTTAACTCTGTATTAAATGTACCATATTAAATGTAAATAACGAAAATGACAACGTGTTGCGATTCAAGTAAGGTCTTCTCATATTAATTAATTAATTTTAAATGGATTTATGGTTTTGTTAAGAATGCATTATTGCATGCACTAGGAGTAAATGCATTTAGATCAGATGTTAATTTAATCATATTTTTACCACCACAGTATATACATTATAAATCCCGTAATCACCTCATATTGTCTACAGTCTACATGAAGCAAAATAATATTAATTAAAATACGAAATAAACAAAAAATCAATGTCAACTCAAATAAAAACATGCAAGTAACAGCTACGTTGAATAAATCATAACAAAATAATGCAGCATGCAGTATCCGATTCATTATAATTATTTACACATATAATACAGTAACATCAAAAAACAGAGGAATTGAGGACGAAACTTTTGACACTGATTCATGTTTGACATTTGACATACTGACGCGGGTATAATGACGCCACGTGATGTTGACATTATCAATCTCAACTTACTGATAGCTGTTGTGTATCTTTTTAGTTTTGTCGGATGTGTCAACGTCGCTTTTCGACCAATTTGGTCTAGATTGCATCACGCGCGGTAAACTAATCCCGTTTACGTGTACTTTTATGTTCTTAGTATTATCCTCTTCGAATTTTCTGCAATAATAATATTTATTCCTTTACCCGTGTCTGTAATTATGTGGATAGTATGTTTGAATGTATACAACAGTAACAAGATAAAAGTGAAATATAATAGAATCAAGCATACTACTTGCAAATTACACAAATGCATGCATTCTATGGTCAATAATCTAAAACCCAACCAATATTAACTACAGTTCTTAGAGAATCTTGCATATGAAATTGTTCAAATTTATCTATGCATGGGACCGACTACTAGTAAAATTAAAGTTTCGTTCCAATTTTCAATAGTTGGAAATCTCACATATTAAAAAAAATACGTTAACTTGTTTTAATATATAACTACCTACAGTTAATTTTCTTAAACTATGTCGTCTCTTTTATTTATATAATTTGAAGAGGAAGAAAGAGACAAAATATATCAATACTAAAACGGTTACATTAATAAAAGGTAGTATCTTCAAGTTATGAGAATATTACATATTTCCATAATAAAAGGGTCAATATTACAAATTATTGACAAAAATGAATTCCCATTTCCATGTTGATATTAAGTAAAAAAGCTTCCATTTTATAATCCGTTACGTGAACGAGGCGTTAATGTGTACAAAGAAAAATATAATTAAATAATAAAAAAAAAACATGTTATATAATATTTTACACAATATAAAATAAAACCACACCACACTCTAAACTTGTAATTTAAAAGATACATTATGATGTGCATGCAAATGTTTTAAGTAATTTTTACTAATAAAGATGTTCCACTAGCACATCAGGAACTTTTAAAACTGGAGATCCACTTTTTATGGAAAAAAATAAATAAAAAATCTGATATGAACATTTGTTGAAAAGATGCATCCATTTTAGTTTTAATGATTAATTTGGCCTGTTCTAGAATTGATCGACCTTTTATCAACCTTTGGTAAGGGGAAAAGCTTACAAGCCAGATTTGGCTAACCTTTGGACTTTAAAGCAAAATGTTTGTGTTGAATGAAGGCCGAGACTCACTGATTTTAGTTAAACCATTAAGGAAAACTTTTACTTTGGTCGACTTTTAGACAACTCTTAGGAGAAAGGAACATCTATGATAGGTTTCTTTAATCTTTGATAAAAAAAAAAATCTACACAGAAAGCTTATGCAGAATTTGCTTCACTCTGTTAAATATTGGCAGATGAAAAAGATTTTAAAGGAAAAACTCATTTTGGGATTAGTTTACCTTTTACCACAACTTAGCAAAATGGAAAACTTATGCTAAGATTGGTTGAATTTTAGTCAAACTTTGGCCAAAAAAAAAATCTATGAACGACCTCTCCAGTGTTAAATGTTCCAAATCAGTAATGTAAGACATTATTTTAACCCTCAGCTCTTACTTGTCATGTTTCTTGTCGGGCTGGCGTCGTTCAGCGACGGTAGAGGGCGTGGCTGTGGTTGCTGCCGCAGATGTAGGTTTAGCAGGAGTAGCGGGCGGCGATGAAGGCGCCACGTTCTCTTTCTCCTGTTTCCTATCCGCTTTACTCTCTTTTTCAGGTTTTGTCTCTAACTTTTGTTTACTCTGTGAGCAATTTAATTGGAACTTATATTACGTGTGCTGCGATACACGTACGATATTACATTAACTTATAACTAAATATTGTATTCATAGACTTGTGAATTACGAGAATGAACCAAAGTGAAGCGAGAGAAAAATAATACTATTTTCGAATGCTGCAATGAGTAAATGGTTTTCTTATACTTTTATTGATTTATACAATATTTTTTAAGTTTTAATTTAGACTACTAAGGTATAATTTATTTATGTATTAATGTATTAAGTATGTGAAATACTTTTTAAGATTAGGGTATGATGAGGCTGACATATCCTTATAAGATATAAGCCTCTAAATAAAATAAAAAGTTTTAATTGAATAAATAATTAACAGACTTTCTTTATTCATAGCTTCTCGGACATACAAGTATAATAATATTACAACAGAAAATATCGACATGTAAATTTTCAGTACAAAAAACATTTCATAAATTAAACAGTGCAATTAAATGAGTTCCAAAAACTATTTTCAAATATAAACTAACCCTTCTTGGGAAAAATCGTTAAGATTATGATTTTGCGTCCCTGCATTTCATTTAAGTTCAGCATATAATTTCAGACGAATCCTTTACTTAGACAGAAATTGATACAATACTAACATGTATTGTGATCATAAACGCTTTTAGTATAAATGGTAATGCTCACTTTGTCCGGTTGTTTCTTAGGAGGTAGCTGCACTGGAGGTGGTGTCTTTTCTTCTTTCTTTTTCTTTTTGTTCTTCACACTCTGCGATGGAGGTGCTTTGACGTCCGAGGAAGAACACGAGCCCTAAAAGTATTATTAGATATTGACAAAACATGGCTAATTAGGAAGGAAATAATATCATACTGTCAAAAATACGCCAATAGATGTATCTCGTGGCTTCGCCTGCGTTTAAAATATAACCTACTTGTGTACTAAAAAATTTAATTCAAATCCGTTCTAATAATTTTTGCATCGAAGAATAGCAGACATTCATTTATCTTCATATAGATTCAAATTTATAATAAAATTAATAGGATTCATGACACGTTGTAGGTTACATAACACGTGAAGATATTAGTAGACGGTTGCCATTGGGGTGAATGTTACACTCAACAATTTGAGGGAGATATTAGAACATATATATTTTTTTAATGGGTGAAAATAAATTGGTAACCCCGCCCGCGCTATCGGTATACACCGACGAGGCACCAGTGGAAGATGACAGGTCAGAATGAATGCAGGTTAGTTGGCCCACCATGATGAATTCGACAAGAATTAAACATGATGGTTTCTAGGGGGAAACCGCGTAGAGGTCGACCTGGGAGGGTATATTGCTAGTATGGGGCTATTAGACCCCATTACTAACAATCCCTTTCCCCCATTTCAACATATTAGAATATAATAATGGCAGAGGTGAGCTTACCTCTGTCAGTTGCAATAATTTAACTTTAAAAAGCTTAATTTAAAAGGTGGACTTAACATCATATGGCATTATCTACCAGTCAATGGCCAATTAGTTTATTAACTGTAAAGTTGTTTGTTTACCATGTTTTCTTTTATCATTATCATCATATAAGCTTTTAACTGTCCACTGCTAAAAATAAACCTCTTCCCAGAGAGATTTTGCCAGTAGATGAGGGAAATGTTTTAAGAGGGACGCTGCTGCCCATCTCTAGCCCTTCCTTACTTGCCTCTTATGGCACTCACGGAAAAGGAATGGGTGGCCAATCTAAGCCGTGGCTACACGGGACAGTTTTCCTTTACTACATTGGGAATTAGAATCAACATTCAAAAGTTACACTTGATTAAATAGTAGAACTTGGAAATAAAACTTAACAGTGTAGGTATACGCTACGTAATCGTCAGGCACAGCGCTTGCGTACCTGCGAGTTAGCGTCGATGCCGGAGTCGCCCTCCTCCTTGGCGGCGGGCTCGTCGTCGGGCTCGCCGCCCTCGGAGCACTCGCCCGACGCTTTCTCCAAGTACATCGAGTTCTTGTCGTTCTCCGCTTGTAATTTGCGTCGCTCCTCCTGTGTGCACCGACACTGGTCAGTACTATCATATTTATAACAACACATCTAATTGTACAGAAAATTTATTGATCTGACATTTGTTCAATCCGTATGTATACAATGAATTAATGAAAAACTCTTTTGTTTCCCTCAAAGGCTCATATAGATTACAATGAAAATTATCAATGTATTGTACAAACATAGAAACAAGAATGGGCGCGAGCACGCCTATTATCTATAATACTTCGAGGTAAAATCTCTATAGGTACTTTTTACATTCTTTTTTCAAAATGATGTGTAATAAAAAATATTAATATTTTTTGTGCCAGCACATGTTTACTATATACTAGTTATTAATATCAAAAGTGTAAAAGTGTTATATTGAAACCAACATTTATCACAGAAATAGAAATTAAAATCACTAAATTATATCAGTTCTCATGCCATTAATTCACAAGAACACATTTTAATTAGTAGTTGTACTCATAATGTTAAATCACGTTGATACAGTTGACAGACAATTAGTTAGCTAGTTAGTTATCTTAAGCAATTCAGACTCGTTATATATTTATATATATAGATAGATACTCTTTATTGTTTCTTCCATAAGAATACAATAGTAAACTTTTATAAATATAAACAATTACAAGAAAATATTACACTAACAGCGATCTCTTCCAGGCGACGTCTGGATGGAGAAAAATAAGTAAAAACAGATTGACTGGAGGCACGAAACTGTTCGTTTTTTATATACATATAGAGATATGCATACATATAATCATGTGAATATATAAATGTATATTTTAAGTTACTAATACATACTTGTATATAAATTCTTGTATAAATATATAAATACATATATATACATAGATATGTAATTACAAAAATAAAAATAAAACTTAAATATGGTAGTAAGACACAAAATACGAATGTGACAACTATATTTTAAAGATGGGATGGAGTGTTGTTCATTTTAAGAATTTAAATATTGATTTTTTTTTTACTATTTTACAATCTCACCTGATGGAAAGCGATGATGTGGTCTAAGATGGGACTCGCGGGCACACGAATAGCCTATTTACATTTTCCTTAAATTGGTGCAGATTATATTTAGATGGAAAAAATAAAAAGGGAGTTTTGCCCCTTGGCCGTACGCATGATGAAGGAAGACACAAAGCGCTTCGTATTCATAAATGGTATGTCTACGACAGAAGGGTGGAGGTTCTCTCCGTCTGGTCTTCTGATGTCGAAAGGGTGTACTACTCTATTTGTCGCTTTCATACGAAGTCAGTACAAATTGACTCAGTTATACATAGAGATCTAAACATTGTGTGTTTGGACTAGAAGTAGCTTTTCAACTGAGAAAATTCTACTCTTTCTTTTTTTTAATGTTACACAACATATTTATAATGAACTGTGGATTGATTTTAACAACTCCTTATATAAAGGAATTTTTATAATGCCCCTTTTTGGCATGATTTAATTTATAGAATTCAAACAATTCACTAATATAAACTAACATGCAATATATAAAGAATGAATACGAAGAATACTTCGATGGTAGGTTACTTTCAATGCTTTTATAAATGATAAGCTGCCATTACAAGACTCGTATATAAAATGGACCTTCGAGCCGGATTAGTAAATGTTGGTATTGTAATATATAAGTTGGAGTTAACACTAGTAGCATATATGCAGTAGGTAGGTAGGTGTGGCGGCCAACCTCTGTGTGGAGGCGCGATACCTTCTTCTCCATCTTCTTCTTCTTCTTGCGCTCGCGGCGGCGCGCGGCGGCCAGGCGGCGCGACTCCTCGCGGCAGCGCTCTGCGTCGAGCTCCTCGAGCAGGATGGTGGCGTTCTGGTTGGCGCGCGCCGCCTGCGTCTCCTTCGCCGCGCGGATCACGCGCACGCACTCCTGGCACTTCTCCAGCAGCTCCTTGTCCGAGATCGTGCAGATGTACCTGCGCGCAACCATCCACCTTGTCATCTACCCATAATTGACGTATTTAGGATTATTTTACAGTGGGACCTGGCCCCTAAAAAAGATGCATATGTACTAATCCGGTGGACATAGACCAGCCGGCTCCTCCTTAAAATTGCGAGATATCAGAATATTTATTTTCTAATTTTCTTTATGGAAAGTGAATTAGTACACTAGCTTAATTGATATTGTTCAATATTCTTGGTAATGGAGCAGTTTTACAAACTGTCCACTTAAGACAGAAATTTATATTTATAAATATGTCTATATATACTTGCAAAGAAGAAAAATTTCTATCAAATATCTAGTATGCATAATACAAATCCTGCTTAGTTTGTGGTTAGATGACGCTCTATATATATAGGTGGTGTAATATATCCAGGAATATATATTTACGTTAATGTACACTATTCAATATCCAGATACCATTAGAACTTAAAGTATTGACATACCTTGTCATTTCTTGATCTGAAGGAAACTGCGTAACTACACCGACCATCCATTTGACCACTTTAGTGTGACCTTTACGGAAGGCGGCCATTAAGCATGAAACCTGAAAATGAATACATTTAAAAAATAAAATAACCAACAATACATTAAAAACATATCTTTATGGTCCATTAATACATCACACCAAAAATATATAGCTTTGCTTCCTATCCGGTTATACTGTTTTCGTCTATATTTTTTTGGATATAAGATTCAAATACTTTAACCACATAAAATATAGGAGCCAAAGATCTCTAGTATCTAGGATTTCTGGGCTGCCTTTGACTGTTTGTACAGATGTTTCCAATATGGTTTATCAGACTTATGACTTTATGTTAGACTGGGATTTGGTCTTGGAATCTTCAGATCGCTTCAAGCATAGATATCCCAACTCACATTGAACTAAATTGTTTAAATTAACTCCGTTCGCCATATTACTGCTGTCAAATGTCTTACTTTGACTTCCATGACACAGGATTTGCCTAGTAAGAAGTCATAGCTATATTGTAAAGTTGTTCAATGGAATAAAATTATTCTTATTCTCTAGCTGAAATGTCACAAATCATCTTAGCCAATTAATCGAAAAGGGTTAATCTCGTGTTTTTTTTTTTTTTATACAACTTAGAAATACTAAATTTATCTGAAGTGACTTTGATGTTTTATAAGATAAAGTCATAAATAAGTTTAATTGTATTTGTTCACATTAATAATTTATATACTTCATAATTAAGTTCTAAACATCACTATTATATTCAACGAACCTTTCTATTGTCCTGTGAGTCTATGTCTGCTCCGGCGGCGTATAGCATTTCGACGACCGCTAAGTGGCCGCCATTTGCTGCTAGCCATAATGGGGAGTTGCCTTTCTTGTTTTTCACTTCCACTGCAGCTCGTCTGTATCAATTAAAAAAAAAAAAACATGAGAAATTATAATTTATCGATGGTAAAATAATCGATGTTTATGAATTTTCTTGAATGCCTAATAAACTTTAAAAATAACTCTGATCTCAGCTTACAAGACGATTTTAGTACTATAAAATACTTTCATTATATTATATATAATCACATAATCTTATAAATTCATGTATTAATTTATAAGATGTTTACATAGAGAGGTGCTGTTTTTTTTAATGGATGACAATGAATGGTAACCCGTCTTGCGAAAACGGTATATGCTGGCGGGGCATCAGTGAGGGATATGTGTGAATGAAAAGGTAGGTCAGTAAGCCCATCATGAATACACTTGGAGTTCAGCACGATGGTTTCCAAGGGAAACCGCAAGGAGGTCGACCTGACAGTCTAATCCTCCTGGATAGCCGTTGTTGATCGCCTACACTTTGTAAGGCGTAGAGTTGTGCAATGACGGTGGTGATGTGGGGCCAAGGCCCGTACCTGGTGAGCAGCAGCTCGACGAACTTGGTGTGCCCCTTGTCGGCGGCGATGGTGAGCGCGGTGTCACGCGACGAAGGCACGGGTGGAGCGTTCACGTCCGCGCCCTTGTCGAGCAGCACGCGGCCGACCTCCACATAGCCGCCGCTGGCTGCCTCCATCAATGGTGTCAAGCCAGTCTTGGCACGATGCTCCACGTTTGCTTTGCGGTCCAATAGCAGGCTCACCACCTCGTGTCGGCCTGTGTTCAGTCGGTCATTTGAGGACCATTCTCATGGTAAATACTGGCGCATAAACGTGTTATAAAGTCATTCAAATATAGTTAGCTGTATTTGTTTTTAGGCATATTATATTTTCAAGCGACATGTTAATCGATGCACCAAATTTTTCGTAAAATAATTTACTACATATATGAAAAAATGTATTGTAAAATAATAATAAACTATCAAAGAATACTGACGATTGCAATCTTTGGTTGTACTCTCGTATTAAACGTCATATTTGGTAGTGCGACTTATGTAACATTTCAATAAACCATATTACGAGCCGACATTTAATGTTTAAGGTACATACACGATATTAATTTTATAAATTTTAAAGTACTCAAATATGAATTAAAAAAATCCAAATATTATAAACAAATCAATGTACAGTGCCACTGAAGTGTGAATGACAGCTGAATGTTGTAAATGTATCCTTTAGGATATATGGTACATACCTTGGAAGCAGGCAAGCGTAAGCGCCGTGTTTCGATTGGTCTCGATTTGCGCGTTGATGTCGGAGCCGCAGTCGAGTAGCAGCCGTACAGCAGCCGTGTGCCCGTTCATTGCCGCCAACATCAACGGAGAAATGCCTAGTTTGGATCCCGTGCGGGAGTTGATTTCCGCCTGTACATATATATGTGTGTGTGGTTATAGTAACACTTTACATGTATATTTTAAAGACAAGTGTTGCCAATCATTGATGGATGAACTCCTTTTGCCTTGGTTCAATGTAATGAACTCTCGAGGTAACGAACCTTATAGGTGTGAAATATAGTGTTTCAAGCTTGTAAATTTTTGTATGTAATTAAATCCTTATTTAAGAGATTTTTTTTATACAACTTAGAATGGCAAACAAGCTGACGGTCCACCTGATGGAAAGTGGTAACTGTCGCTCATAGACATGAGCAGTACCATGGACATAACAGAGTATACTGTTTCGCCCATGATACCCCCCATGCGTTGCCATTCCTGAGGACTTAGGTGTTATTCCTCTGTACGCAGTAAATTCACGCCATACCCCACCCTTCAAACCGAAACACAGCTATGCAAACACAACTGCTTCACGATTGAAACACAAATGGGGCAGAGGTACCTAAGCAATCGACTTTTGTACAAAGTCTCCCTCTAGTTATGACAATTTAATTTAAATCCGCGGCAGCGATGACGATATTGCATAATACTGATCACCAATTGTTTTTCTTATTACATGTGGTCATGACCTCATAGATAGGTCGGTCATCGGTAGAATGTCATATAGGGATGGTATTGTTAGACAATTGTATTAGCATAGTATATGGTGGCAAGAATAAGTAGTCATAGGTATGTACGAGGTTTGTCCGGAAAGTACGTATAAAAGTTTTTTAAAAATTTTATTTTACAATTATTCAGGTAAATCAATTTTATCCCCTTCAAAGTACTCCCCCTGTGACATAATGCACTTGTGCCAACGCCGTTTCCACTGTGAGAAGGCTCCTTGAAAGTCCTCTGGTTGTAGGTTTCTCAGCTGCCCCGTCGTAGCTTTTTTTATCTCATTTATGTCCCCCAAATGCCGCCCCCGAAGTACCAATTTGGTTTTTGGGAACAAGAAGAAGTCACACGGGGCCAAATCCGGCGAATAGGGGGGGTGTTCGGTCACCGTAATGGAATTTTTACTCAAAAACTCACGGACAACAAGAGAGGTGTGGGCAGGGGCATTGTCGTGGTGAAGAATCCAACGCCCCTCTCGCGCCAATTCTGGACGAACTCGTGCCACACGAGCTTTGAGGCGTCTGAGCACATCGACGTAGAATTTTCCATCAACTGTCTGGCCTGGAGGGACGAATTCTTGATGGACAATACCCCGAACATCGAAAAAAACAATCAACATTGTCTTGACATTTGAGCGGGATTTTCTTGATTTTTTTGTTCGTGGTTCCCCGGATGTCTTCCACTCTTTGCTTTGGGATTTTACTGTTCTGAGATCGGCAAAAATTTCACGGCCATTCTTGCCGAGTTTCGAGAGAAACTTGATTACGACGCGCTGCTCTTCAACGGAAGCGGGCTCCATGCCGACGGGGTTTCGTTAAGAGGTAACTTCACAGATGGCGTGACAAGCCAGTTCGCACCGCACGGCGGTCAGACCAGAACTGAAGCATTGTTAGGGACATAAGGAAGGGGTCCTGCGCTTACCTGGCCTCCCCACTCCTCTTTCTCGCATTCCAGAACACTTTTATACGAACTTTCCGGACAGACCTCGTATTGTGCGACATGTGGTGCGGGACGGGTATGTATGTAGTAGCGACGAGAGGAGAAAACTGACCTGGTGGTGCAGCAGCAGCCGGATGATGTTGACGTAGCCACCAGAGGCGGCCAGCGAGAGAGGCGTGTAGTCAGAGACGTTGCGGTGCTCCTTGTTGGCTCCTCGGGTGAGGAGGAGCTCCACCACTTCGTACCGTCCGCCGCTGCACGCTAGGGACAGCGGCGTGTCCTTCGTACGCTCTGACTGCGCCTCGATATCCGCGCCGTGGTTCAGCAGGATCTCCACGATCTTCTCGTGGCCCGCCGTCGCCGCCAGTATCAGCGGCGTGAAACCCTGTCCGCGCATAACGTATTCAATATTAACTAGTGACATTGTATGGTACTAAAACATAATATTTTAGTTCTCAGGATTAGCAAAAGTAGTATACAGGGGGGAGAAGGGATTGGTAGTAGTGGGAATTAACAATCCCATTGCTAGAAATATACCCTATTAAGTCGACCTCCACGAGGTCCCCCCCTGGAAACTAATGTGATTAATTTATTGTTGAATTAGTTATGTCAGGTTTTTTTAATGGGTGAAAATGGTATGGTAACCCCGCCTGCGCTAACGGGATACGCTGGCGGAGCACCAGTGAAGGGTGATTGATGAGAATGAAAACAGGCCAGTTAGCCCGTTATGATGAATTCATCAGGTATATCATCATATCATGATAGTTTCCAGGGGGAACCGCAAGAAGGTGGACCTGGTTGGGTATATTGCCAGCAATGGGATTCTAACAATCCCTTCCCCCCCAGTGATGTGAGTGTAACTGGGCTGGTCGATCGTGAGTCGGTGTATACCTATAGGTCGGTTATCCCAAGCGTACCTTCTTGTCCCTATGCTCGATGTCGGCGCCGCGCGAGAGCAGCAGCTCGACGAGGTCCTCGTGGCCGCCGGCGCAGGCGAGCGTGAGCGCGGTGTCGTGGTTGGAGTCGGTCTCGCCGTCCACGTCCATGGCCGAGTAGGCGGCGGGCGCGGGCTGCGGCGGCGCCGCCGGCGGCTCGCCCGCGCCCGCCGCGCCCGCGCCGCCGCCCGCCGCGCCGCGCGCCCGCCCCGACCCCGCGAACCGGCCCTGGACCAACGCCGCGGCTCATATACACTCCACACATACAACGATAAACCTACAACTTAGTACTCCTTCCAGTTGGATCTATTCTTTTTAACATTCCAAGTATACCAGATATTAAAAATACAGACTATATTATTAGAACATAAAAAAATCCAGTATGGAATACACATTCCAATGTAATCAGTTGTTCTATTCATAAATTAATAAACATGACAAATCCTATAATAATCTAGGACAAACCATCCTACAATCACTGAATATAGTGCTGGGATTAAAAAAATAAAAATGTAAATTTATCACTATGATACAAATACCGACGAAGACTTAGTCCACTAGCCAAAACACCAACCTTTTTCTTGGCAGTGACGGTGGTGTTGCTCTGGTGGTGTTGGTCGCGCTTGTAGTGCGGCTGCGGCACCAGCGCCGGCGCGGGGGGCTGCGGCAGCTGCGGCGCCGGTGCCGGCAACCCGCCCGATCTGTGAACAAATAATACATATATTATACATTTATTACACAACTTTCTTTGTAATGTATAAATCAGTAACAAATCTAAAGATTATAAACACAGTTATCTGCGGGGTGAGACGATCACAAGTATATATCGTCAAAAGCTCATGTCACCTATATGACGTAGATTAGATGTGATTTAAAGTTTTCATTTTTCAAATTGTTAAGGAAATGTAATAATAATCTAATTTATACAATAAATTTTAATTCTAAATTCAAATTTGTTTATCAACTTAATAACTGTCATTCATTACTTCAGGTAGTATGTATTAGTTGTTTATTTGCGTCGCAGTATATGCTCATAATCTATGCTCCGACATAGTATATATACATAAGATTCTGTACTATCTCGTTTGCTTGAATAATTTGCGTCTCGGTATGCGTACAGATTTATAGGTGAATTTACTATGGTGACATTACCTGTAGTCTTCGAAAGGTAAGGTGGCGCCCGGAGGAGGGAGCGCGAAGTGTTGCAGGTCGGGTTGTGGCTGCTCGTCCTCGGGCCGCGGTAGCGTCAGCGTGCCCGGGTCCATGGTCCCTACTGGCCCCACCGCCCCCACTGCGCCCACAGCACCCGGCGACGTCGGCCTCACGCGGTACTGGCACCCATTGCCCACCTAACGCACATCGAGCAATAAAATAAATTAATAAAAAAAGTGAATCTTATTATCAAAGCTGTTATTGTATCATTAAAAGTGTTGTAATGTCTCTGGTCTCTTTAGAGCATTATAATACCAAGTTGGCAGTCACCGTGAGGTCAACGTGGTGATGGTGGTGATGATGATGGTGATGGTGGTCCTGCCGTGACGCCCAGTCAGCCGCTAGCGCTTCCTCGGCAGCGGCCAGCAGGCGCCGCGCTTGTCGCTCCTCACCCTCCTCCGATTCCGCCTCTGTTTCACCCTCGCCCTCACATTTCGATGATAGGATCTCGTGCGACTTCTGTTGCATCACCTGTCACCATAGAAGAAATTGTATTTTTTATAGTAGGTGCAAATGAGCCTATGGCTCACGAGATTGTGAAACTGTTAATATAGTCATGAACTAACACATACAGTTGTATGTTGCCCGGCACCGCACGACGTCTCATCTGTCATGTTTTCTTCTTTGTCGTCGTACGTGTGGCTGAGTGAGACTTGTTGGTGCTGGCAGGCCGGCGTCTCACTCACCTGCAGCACGAGCGAGCGCAGTTCGTTGGGCGGCAGCGCGACCAGCGACGGGACCTCCCGCTGCAGGTAGGCCAGCACGGCGCTCAGCTCGCGAGCTTCCGCCGCGCCCGCCGCCCCGCTTCCCGCCTCCTCCCCCGCACACACCGCTCCGCCCTGTAACCGACACACGCCCTGTTTACTCATTCACATACAATACGTTCAAAATAAGAATACAATTGACTTTCCACCTTATTTTATACTAGCGCTATATTGCAAATGTTTGCATCGCGATGTCTAGTACCATGTAAGTCTCATGTAATGCAGACTGTCTGCCGAATTCCGTGCACTGTATTAAAAAACATACAAAATAAAACCACCTGCGAAAAATGGAACAAATGCCGAGAACAAACAGGTCATTATGTTCAATTAATAGAATTTTAAACTTTGAATCATTAATATTAATCAATTATAAAATTACATAGTTTTCAGGGCAAAATTAATGGCCGGATTTTGATGATTTTGGAATGATAGCCTAAGGTAAGTAATTCTTAAACTATCATTCATATATCATATTATTATAATACCTGTGGCACATATGCTTCGGGTCTCTGTTGTAATTCCGGTGCATACGGCGGTTGTTGTTGTTGTTGTTGTTGTTGTTTTTTCTGTTGTTGTTGCGCCGCTAACTGCTGGAACTGCTGTTGTTGTAGCTCCTGCAGCTGGTGCTGTAATGGCAACTCAAAGTTACTATCATAACATGGCTGCTTTACAAGTGTATAATACTTTACGTGTATTAAAGTTGATGGTAACTGCACTAATGACTGCTATTATAAAGATGACCTGTACTCTATTTACTATGATTAAATGCTATCGTGATTATTGTCTCAAATATTGATACATATGTATGGTATATAAGTAATATAGTAATATAATACAAAAAAAAAACAGACTTCAATTGTAATAAACCGAATTATTTTAGTCTAAAAACGAAAGTATTAAACGAATTTTAATAAAATTTCTATTTGACCAATCCGTAAAGTATATCATTTTAAATAAAAAAAAAGAAATTCCAAATTTGTCTAAAATTGACAAATTTATGAGGTAATAAACGTAAAAAAAAAATACATAACCAAATTAAGAGAATCTCGTTATTTTTTAAATTTCTGTTTACTTCCGTTTTCCAAGAACAAAGATATTGTACAAACAATGTATCGTCACGATAGATACTTAGTGATATTCTAAAAACATTAAACGTTCGGTAAAAAAAGGTACATTCTAGATAAATACTATTTTAAATCTGAATTGTTTATCATATTTTACTTATATTCATGGTCGTTGAACAATTTTTTTTATTACATGTTTTATCGTCTCTAATATAGTAATATGAGAGTGTGTTGGTTTGAAAGTGTTTATAGTATAAAAACGGGAAATGAGTCGTTAAATAGTTTATGTTATATAAAATATGATAATAAACGACTTTAATTTTTTGCACGAATATTACAGGATATTTTGACCAATTCTGACCGAATTTTGACAATTCTTTAAGTTATTAATATATAATTTACTTTTGTGTATGTCTCATACTCAATTTATAATGATTAGTCGCAGTTTCTTTCACGCAATAGATTTCAAATTATATCTTACTATACAAAATGCAGTAAGACTTTCAGATTAAATTGGGGTGAGGTTAACTTATTAATGTCGTCAAACCAGGCTGAAGGGATTCTTACTAACTGACTAATGAAGACGACCCAGGGCCCAATTGTTAGCAATTTACCCAACTAAGTCGACTTCCACGTGGTCTCCCCTGGAGACCACTGGATGGGCTAACTGACCTGTCTTTTCATACTCACTTATCACCTCTCATTGGTGCCCCGCTAGTGTATACCGTTAGCATGGGCGGGGTTTACCATTTCATTGTCATCCGATAAAAAAAGTGTGGTAAACCCAAATTAGAATAACCGATACTGATTTTATAGACAGTAAATAAGACAGCACGCAATCAATTTCAAGTGATAATCCTTCTTTGCATGTATTTTTTTTATTGGTGAAATAAACCAAGGTGATATAATTCATGTTCAAAATTAAAGGAAAAACTGTTAAAAAAAAAAATTTGATAACTAAGTTTTTTTTCTGCAATGGATACTAAAAAGGTATACAAACACGAGCAATTTAAAGTGAACTTGTTCTTTTATATAGTTTTTGGGCATTCAATGTTATGATGGAAATTTCCACCATTATGCAAAGAAGGGCATACGATGAACACAAATTGATACAATCTACAATTGAAGCAGTTATGCAGAACACAGCTACATTCATAAGAGACACAGCTACATTCTATAATATCTAGCTCCGACTATCAATCTACGGATATAGTAAAGTGATGGGTAATAGAGTCGCGAGGTTTACCGCGACGACACCCACTTCGGTAATGTACTGTCCAAGCCGGTGTAGCGCTTCAAGCAGAAGAAACTTGGAGCCAAACTTGCAGTATTTTCGTGACGGTCTAGCGCGCACACGCTCTTGTATGCCAATATTCTGATTTTCGTATGCAATATTATTTTTATGGGACTTTGTAAAAGCATTCATATATTTTACACTATTAAGCTTATGTTTTGTATAACACAAAGATGATTTATATATAATTAGCAAAATTACAGTCTAGGTCTAGTTTTATTTGTGTTACACCCTTAAGTTCATTGTATTTCTTACCAAACTGGACGGTAGGGTTGAATAAACTGACTTTACGTACGTCTATTTCTTTAAATGCATGACTAAATATCCTGCTAGTTCATATAGGACAGTTTTTTTTTTTTTACATAGAAAATGATTTAAAATTTCTGCTTATACTGTAATATGTTTAAAAAAAGTTAGCAATTTGTACGATCTCGTACAAAAGCGTCAATATAAGATATTTCAAGTGATCACTAACAAGCTATCCAATACTGTGATGAATGTTAGAGAATTTTTTTTTTCTGTAGTCATTAATTCGTTAATATATCGTCACAGTCGTAGAATACTGACGGATCTTTTAATGTAATATTTGTCAGATCCGTCAGTATTCTACGACTATGACGATATGTGTTTATAATTTCTTTAGGTCTACCGCGGTATAAAAATCACGCTATTTAATTTATTCACTTAGTTATAAATCTAAAAAAAAAAAACTGTGTTCACAACTGTTCATAAGAACGTTACTATTTAGTAATAAGAATTAATTGTGATATTTTATCAGGCAGAACATACCTGGTTTAGATTGGTCGCAAGTTGCTGCACAGGGAACAATTGCTGCGGGGGAGGGTACGGTGGAGTGGTGGGTGGGTGGATGCTAGTCGTCACACCTGTAAAATAAGAACATTCATAAATAAAATTTAACATTTACAATTTTTTAATGGTTTATTAATAATTATTTATTTTAGAACAGATAGTTAATAGTATTATCGTGCTGTGGGCAATGAAAACTGTATTAATTATGTAAATAGTGTTAACCAATTAAAATTTACACTAAATAGCTGATTGTAGGGAAAAATTGAGTATGAAATAACATATTTGAATGTATAAATAAATTTACCCCCTTATTCATGAATATGTCAAACTAATAATAAACTTTTTCTTTTGTACTAAACTCTTAATGAAAAAATAATGGTCTTGGTAATAAAAAAATGACTATTCAAAAATCTTAAAACTAAGTTTACTTGAATAAAAATATTTCTTTCTTTCATTTTAAAAATGTAACAAAACACTTTGATAGTTAAAATAAGTTTGTAATTTTAGTTTAAATTTTTTATGAATATGGGAGTTAATATCAACATAATTCACTTATCCGTTTTCGATAGATATTTGTTTATGAAGAATGATCCTTATTTAAAGTTCTAAATATTAATTATTAGGGGTTTTGATATTTGTTAAAATGAATATTGTAAAAGTTACGTACACACGATTAATTAGATTTTGTAAAGTAAATTCAGTGTAATTAATATGTTATTTTATTAATGTAATTAAAATTAAATTTGGAACATACGCAGGCGGTCATACCAATTAGTATAGATACACGAGACATAATTTTAAATGTATTTACAATATAGCCAGTGTGTCTATACCGGGTGATAGAGCAAACATGTAATTTATACTATATTTTTTTTAATATTGTAAAATAACATAATTTCACAGGAAGCAAAGAACTTTTAGTACAACAAAAAAGCCTTGAAATTAGTATCAACAAAAATAAACCCTTTAAAATGAGATACTCGAATATGAAGATAATATATTTATATTGGTACAAAAAAATAGTACAATACTATCTATAATACTGTACTAATTTCTTGTACACAGTCATATCACCCGATGTAAAAAGCGCGAAATGAGGGGGGCATATATACTGGACGCTTTTATAATTTACCATAGCACGGCATAACATGGTAAGAATTTACCATTCAATTTTTCTATCCATTTACATACACTTTGCTGTCCTAATGTACCGTAACGGTAAAATAGTACAATGTCGTGTCTAGCGACGTGCCGACTAACGATGACTCGAGTAGTAACAGAATTCGAATATATATATGATACTCGAATACAGGATTCGGGTACTTGTGTTACTCAAATACTAATCGCATGTTTATCATAAGTTTTTATTTCTTTTTAAGTTTAATTTTTTTTTCTTTAATTACCAAAGGCGAAATTGTAAAAAAAACTAAATGTTTATTACTTTTATTAATAGTAAGTTCCAGAAATCAATTGTTAGAATACTCGTGTCTGAGGATGTACTCAAACGCCGATTCAAGTCTTCGAGTCATGTCTTCAGACTTTTTTTAATGACTCATTTTTTTTCTCACTCACACAAAAGCATTACTCTGCACATCATTAACAGTGCCGTGTGACAGTAAATTATAAATAATATAAGGGGGCCGGTGTGTGACAACTTGCCTGGCGCGCAGAACTGTAGGTCGAGCGCGTGTAGAGCCGACGTGGCCAGCGTCGGCGGACCTTCACACAACAACACGTCACTTGTACCAACCAAATTTACAACTCGCATTTTATTAAACGACTCTTGTACAATTTCATTAGGTAATAGCTCAATGAAGCAGGAAGATGTTAAAAGTTTTCCCCAATGAAGACTGGTTTTTGTTTTTTTTTTTTTTTATAATTATATCATCATAGTCGTAGAATACTGACGGAACTTTATATGTAATCTTTGTCAGATCCGTCAGTATTCTACAACAATGACGATATACTGACAAAACTATGGCCTACTTGGGTTACTGTCTATAGATATGAGGAACACCATAGAAATCATAGGTTATATAATGTAAAAGAACTACAATTATACAGAGGATATTTATTAATAAAGAATTAAAAGTAATTTTATGTACTGAGACAGTTCATGTATATAGCTGTGTGTATCATCAAGGTTGAAAAACTTGTTTTATACAAATTATAATATATCCTGTTTGAAAGAAGGTGAGTAATGAAAAATATTGTATTGGTGTTTCTTACCTGAGGTATCGGCCAATTCGAGAAGGTTTCTTTCAGTCTCTGGTAGTGGTTCGTTTCGGCCCTGGCTCACTAGTGCGTCCACTTTCTGTAATGAATCATTAACATACTTTATCTATTTCTATTAATTATATAAAAGAGTCACCCTTCGGTTTCAGAGTTTGTAGATTATTTGTTGATTATTGTTGTGTTACTTGATTATTTGATTTGTTGTATGTGAATGCTTTTCTGAGTGAGTTACTAATTGATTTAGATACCGTCCAAAACTCTAAATGAAAATATTTATATGTAAAGTATAGAGGAAGGGTTTTCTGTGCTGCAGTCAGTCATTGTTCTATTTTCCACAAATACAAAGGGTTTCCATTATGGCATTGTTCTCGTCACTATTTTAAGTACTTTGTGGTATGAAAACTAATTTTTTTTTATACAACTTAGAATGGTAAACAAGCTGACGGTCCACCTGATGGAAAGTGGTAACCGTCGCCTATAAACATGAGCAATACCATGGACATAACAGAGTATACTGTTTCGCCCATGATACCCCCCATGCGTTGCCATTCCTGAGGACTCAGATGTTATTCCTCTGTACCCTGTAAATTCACGCCATATCCCACCCTTCAAACCGAAACACAACTATGCAAACACAACTGCTTCACGGTAGAAACACGAATGGGACAGAGGTACCCAAGCAATCGACTTTTGTACAGTCTCCCTCTGGTCAAAAAAATGTATTTATGGTGTCCATTATTATATTCATATTATAAATCAGAATAAGTATGTTTCTAAACATTGCCAAATAATCATTACAATTGCTCGTTTAGACTATATTGAAGACTATTCATGACTACTGTACTTAGTACTTTTTTTAGTAATATTTTACGATTACAGCATTTATAGTAATCATTCTATCCTATCACTGCTATATAAGAGCTCATGTGTAGATGGCTAAATTACCTAATACAATTTCTACTGACAAAATTAAATACATCTAATACTATAGAATATAGCAATTTTTTTTATTTTTATTTTATTTTATACAAAAAAAATCATATGTCATAGTAACTTATCGAAGTGACTCACTTCAAAGAATTCACGTTCAACAGTGTACTTATTTTTGTATTTCTTTCTCTTGTTAACATCCTTCCATGTAAATCCCGGCGGGAGGGTCACTTTAGCCATTGTTCCGTGGCATATCTATATTAGAGCAAATAAAACTGACTTTAAGAGAGAGGAGTCTGACTCTTTGAAAAAGAACAATACATACAATACATACTCTCAGTCATATTTTTACATATAACAATAGTTTTTATTGAATAATAAATTACACGTATCTATACAATATATACAGTGGATATTATTAAAAATTAGGTCCGCCTCTGGAGATGGACACCAGATACTTTAGGGGCGGTCGTAGCCCGCTTGATCCAGCTTTAAATACAACTATACACATTGTAGGCCCGTTGCGTTGTTGAGGCGGGGCGCGGTACCTGTTCGTCGAGGATGTCGGGCGGCGGCGGCAGGTGGTGGTCGGAGTGCGCGGCGGCTCGCTGCTTGCGCGGACACTTGTGCTTGGTGTCGCGCGCCGCCGCGCCCACCGTCGCCACCGCGCCCGCGATCACTCCCGCGATGTAGGCCGCGCCCGCGTCGCCGCCGCTACCGCTACCGCTACCGCTGCCGCTACCGCTGCCGCTCACGCTGCCGCTGCCGCTGCCCCGCCCCGCGCTCGCCGGTACGTTCGCGCCGCTCACGACGCCCGCGTTCGCGCTCGTACCGCTATTCGCGGCAGTTAGCTTCTTGCGACCTGCTTGTCATTATAATGCATTATATAATAATGCTAGCTAATTACCTGTTCTTAAATTGTTGCATGCTTGATAAGGTGTAACTGTTGATACTATTGTCAAGTCCAAAACAATGTTTACTGCTATATGTATACTACTCTATTCTATTAATGATAATAACAATTTATTAATATTATTGAACACTAATGAAAGAATATCAACTTATTGTTGTGATGGTCAAATGGTTCGGTAACGGGTTTGTGTCTTCTTTTTTATTAAGCATAGGCTTAAGACACCCAGGGGATGTTTATCAAATATATTATGTTCAATAGAAAACGTTCTTTTTTTCTACATATTTTTAATTTATGTACCATATTTTAATTTTTAATTTATGTAATTGTATTTTTGAGATGAATAAGAGTTTTCATTCCATTTATAATCAAATACGAAATTTGTTGTAAATTCAAATTCGTTATTATAACTTGCGTTTATAACAAATTTCGTATTTTTTTATTTGTATTTTGTTTATATCTAAGATTATCAAGTACACAAATATGCAAAAAAGAAAAAAAAAAACTAAAAATGTACTATAATATTTACGCATGATTTTATATCGCAAATAAGTTTATCTATCATTGTCAACCATTAACGTTCTAAAATTGAAAATGTTACTCTTACCGTCGTGGTAGGCCTTGGTGAAATTAGGCGGTAAGTCTAGCGGCGCCTTCTGCTGCGCGGTCGCGGGCGCGGGCGCTGGCGCGGGCGCGGCGGGCGTGGAGGGCGCATGCGCGGGATGCGTGGCGTGCGCGGGGTGGGCGGCGTGCGCGGGGTGCGAGGGGTGCGCGGGGTGCGGGTGCGGGTGCGCGGGCAGCAGTGCGCGGCCGGCGGCGCCGGGCGCAGGCGCGTGGCTGAGCCCCAACGCAGCCGCCTGTGCCGCGCTCAGTCCGCCACTCTCCTCCGCGCCGCCTGCGTTGCCTAGTAACAACACAATTCACGCTTCGTATACACATGTAATAAGTACTGACAAAACATCCCTTATTTGTTAATAATGCGAACTACCAGTCCCATTCATACACCCCGTCAGGTCGACCTCCATGTGGACACTATCGTACTGAACTCCAAATGTCTGCATCATGATGAGCTAACTGGCCTGCTCTATCATTTTCACTTATCATTCCTCGTTGGTGCCCCACCGGTGTATACCGATAGCATAGACAGCATTACCATTCCACAAAAAAAAAAAACCTCTCTTATGGAAGAAGCTATACAACAGCTAACACAATACAAATACACTTGTAATAAGCTTAGGGTATTTTTTCCTTTGTATAGGCATAAATTACAGATTGTAACTAGCTTCTATATCATGACATACTTTTTCTCGTTGTATCCACAAACATACAAGCTCGTCAGTGATGAAAACTCCTAATATTTGTAATAAAAGCAAATCTACATTGTGAGTTACAAGTATCAAGTACTGATGATTTGAATTTGTCACTGTGGTTATTTACTCATAGCATACAACTTATTTACAAAATTACTCAAATTCTTATGTTGTATCATGCAAGTTTTTATATTAATTATTAAGATAAAATCAATTCAGATTACATTGCATGTAGAAGTATTTTATGAAACAGTATACAAACCTCTAGGTAACATAACAGAGTGAGGATAGTCGAGTAGCAATTGCACAACAGCGGTGTGACCGCCCTTGGCAGCTTCGATGAGGGTGGTGGAATTGTCTTTTAGTTTGCGAAAGGGATCCGCATCGCAGGCTAGTAAGAACTTAACGACGTCGGCATGCCCTCCCGCGCAAGCTAGCGACAGCGGAGTGTGGTCACCATTGGCAGTCATACGGTTAACATCTGCACCCTGAAATTTTATAATATGGATATAATGATGTTCCATTAAATAAAAAAATATCAAAACAAGAAACAATTAGCCAATCAACTATCCATGATTAGCTATTTCAATATTGATTTTGTAATGAAAAACAAAATAAATCGAAAAACAGTTGAAAAATAAATAAATCAGAAAATTATTCAATAAGATTGAAATGTGTAAAAGTTTATTATACAACAGCTAGTAAATAGAGGCAAGTCGGGTCAGCTTTTATGAGCAAGTGCAATGACCAAGACAGTAACACACAAACATAAATTATATAGCTAGCTATATAATCTGAGTTTGTATATTTGTATGTATGGAGACGCTCTATAGTACATACATAAATATCTGTCACGCCTGTCTCCCATTAGGGTAGGCAGAAACAATGGAACGTCAAATTCAAACAAACCTCTTTCGCTTTATCCACATTCATCAATCTTTTCATACACGCTCGCCGGTTACGGATACTTTAATTTAGCGCTTCTTCAGCACGTCGCCTATTTGGTCAACATACGTCCGTCTAGGGTGGCCCCTACGGACATCTCCATTCATTCTTGCTCGATGAATCTCTTAGGCTCTATAGTATCTCTATATAGAGATGATATAGAGTGTTTCGAGAAAAATGAGTCAACTTTTTCATAAAAGCTGCATCTTTTTAATGTATGAAGTGTAAACATACATATTATTTATTAAATAATACGTCAAAATATATTTTATGCGTAAGTATATAGAACACTAATAAAAAAAACGAGTCGGCTGATTTCACAATTAGCTCACAAAAAGTTGATCCGGTGTTTGAGGTTAGATGTTCTATCTACATAACCTAAGCATACAAACTAGTAAAATGTAAAAGGTAAGACAAGAAGGAGAAACAACATAGTAGCGTCGCACCTTTCAACCTCACTCCCGTGTTCGTAGTGGTAGTGTAGGGGACGTACCTTGCCGACGAGGAACTGCACGGTGCAGACGTGTCCGGCGCGGCAGGCCTTCATGAGCGGCGTGCGGCCGCCCTCGCTCTCGTGCTCGAGCTGGGCGCCGGCGCGCAGCAGCAGGTCGGCGACGTCGGTGTGGCCGTTCTCGCAGGCGTACGTCAGCGCCGTGTCGCCCGTCTGCGTCTGTGCGTGCACGTCCGCACCGGCGTTCAGAAGGTACCTGTACACATCATTTAAGAGTTGACACACGTTTTTACGCTTCCTTATTACATAGGCCTACCTCTATGGGGGAATTTTCCAGTACGCTTTGCAGACAAATTGGAAATCGCAGCTAGACTTTGAGATGTTTTAAGAGAGACGCCACTGCCCCTCCCTTGAGCATTAAGTCACCACTAATGTGATATCAAAATATAACATGAAAAAAAAAAATGAAATAAATACTTTCAACATAAAAGAGACACTTGCGATTTCCCGATGTGAGGATCTGATCACAAACCACAGATTCAGTTTACTACATTGTATGCGGTAATGTTCCGTCATGGAGTATTACAATTCACAAATGAGAGGAAATTTCAAGTATTTTTCATAGAATCCAGCATTTAATAATAAAATGCTAGTGCAGTTGAAACGCCATGTAGATTATACCTGCGTTTACGAGCAGATCGCTGCGACAGAACTGAGATAGATGAGATCACTAACCGAACTAGCTCGAGGTGACCTTCCTGGGAGGCCTCCATGAGGGGTGTGGAGGCGCCGAGTTCAGCATCAGCCCCCGCCTTGATGAGGAAGGCGGCCACCTCGAGGAAGCCGCCGCAGCACGCCAGAGTTAGCGCCGTCTCTTGCGTCTCATCGGTCTGAGCATTGATCGACGCTCCCTGCCCCAGCAGCAGTGCCACCATTTCTTCGTGACCTTAACATAATTAAAAATTGGAATTTCAGGACGTTTTTAGATGAATGGAAAATAGCAAACGGTCTCTACCTATTCTACGGTATATGGATATTAAATCAACTCAATGAATGCACATGTCTGAACACACCTCACCAGTTTTTGATTAAAGTGAGATCATTAGAGCTGGCTAGTGAAAAGAAATGTGAATTGTCATTGCTATTAGTGGTGTTTAATTTGTCACTTGTCAACTCTTAAGATTTTATTCCACAAAATCAAACTTTAGTCCTGCGAAAATTAGTAACAGCAATTACATATTGATCGACTCGAGACATTGGAGTAAACTTCGTTAAAAAAGTCATCAAAATTAATTCTGAATTGATGAAGATAACATATAAAACAGTCTAAGTAGGAAACCTCTTCATTTAATTGATTTAAAATGTGCAACTTGTATGGTGCGTAGGTACGTGTGCGTGCGTACCTTCCCTGGCGGCCTCCATGAGTGGTGTGTAGCCCTCGTCGTTGACTTCCTCTATGTTGGCACCGCGTTCCAGCAGAAGCATTGCTAGTTCCACGTGCCCGCCACACGCCGCTAGAGTCAGCGGCGATTCGAAGCTGTCCGTTGGCATGTTGACCTGTACACCGGAACATTTATTTTATCATCTTTATATGCAAATCTGGAGTTTCCCTTTGCCCCTTGTTATAAAATTTTATTATTCTGAATCATATTCCTACAATTACATGTATAAAGCCAGATTCAGTTACAGGTGTCTGTAATAGTGCCAAGAACTCAGTCTTTAAGTGCGACCAGTCATCTGTGTTCAAGTAACTTCAAAAAGAAGAAAGTTCTTGATTTGATTGTACTTTTTTATATGTTTGTTTACCTCATAACTCCATTAGTTCTGAATCGATTTGGTAATTTTTATTTATAGACGTACCTGAGCACCGGAGTCGAGCAGTAGCCTCGCGACCTCAACGTGTCCATCCATGCTGGCCTCCATAAGCGCGGTGTGCATCTCGTCGGTCTTGTGCTCGCGGTCGGCACCAGCCGCCAGTAAAAAGCGCACCATGTCCAAATGGCCTTTGTAGCACGCGAGGGTGAGGGCAGACTCCTTGAACTCGTTCGAGTGTGTGTTGATGCCGGCCCCATGTTCGAGGAGGATTTTTGCAACGCCCACGTGACCCGCCGACGCCGCCTGGTATAATAGTTTGGAATTTAGATGAAGACAAATAAATGTTCATTCGTTATAATTCGCCTCAAAGAAAAACAATTATACAAAATATAAATACATTTATAATGATAACACACCAGAAAATATACCAGGAAAAGAGAAAATAATAAAGCAACTAAAGTTCAATCTTGACGAAATATCTCATGGTATGGATACAACATGGAAATAAACTTTAATTAAAAAAATAATCATCAGAATAAACACTGAATTGACGAAGATATTGCGTATGTTATACGATTATGATGGCAATTTGTATATTTATGAATTTTTTTTTCAAGTGCCTAATTACTATAATAATAAAAACGTTTATCTGTGAAACATTAATTGTTTTATTTATGCAAAAAAGATTTTGGCTACCTTTTTATGAAAAAAAAAATTATAATTACGTATAAATACGAAAAACTATATGGGACAGATAAAGGAAACAGAAGTTATTATATTATAAAGAGGTTAAAGATATGAACTGGAATAGAACTGGCTGGAAGAAAATGCATGAATTATTTGCACTGGGAAGAGGAAACTTTTAAATGAAAAGAGAGAATTAAGTATTGTCAACAATAATAGTAAATTTATCTTAAAGTTTATATGTTTCATTTAATTATTCTTTGTGATGTGACAGAACATGATAACATACTATTAATTAGAATTTATATATCTATAGTACACTGGCAATGATGCTGAGTAATTACTTAACCATCCATTTAGTGAAGGTTTAGCTACTGTACGCGTTTAGTATCCAATTACATTGAGCGGCTGGACGGCGCGACCGGCGCCTCCACATGATCACTATACGAAATCGCATCTTTTTCGTGTGCACTTGTTTACAAAGCACGAGCGATGCGCCTCGACATCGCACGCACATGATGTATCTTAAATAGTAAAGCCCGCGTAAGCCATAAAAATCGATTTTTAGCTATTTTAATTGCTATTTTTATAAAAGTTTAATTATGCGTCTTACAAATATTCAAATAAAACCATAGACGTAAATAGTCACTTGACTTTATTTTATATTACTTAGAGATGAGGACAAGACAAAGTAAAAAAATCCTACTAACGGTTAATGTTCTTGTCATATATAATATTGTATTAATCTGTGATCGTACTATCCTTAATCTATCTCTCTAGTATTATACGTCATAACTGTCAGTGTGTGTGTGTATGTGTGTATGGAAAATCAACACGTGGTTTATACCGTGTCGAGATTTGATTAATGAAACAGTAAATTAGTAAAACAGCGAGTGAGATCTAACAATTTCTATATGATTACTATCATATTGTAGCCTTAAACGGTTTCACAATTAACACTAATTGAGTATTCTGACACTTCCCTATGGTTGACTGGGAGAGAATGCTTTTAGCATTAAGTCCGCCATGTACACATATTTGTACTAATGAATAAATAAATAAATAACACTAATCTACAACGGAGCATTCATTAAAATCTATCAAGTGGTTTGTTGGTGATTTGGCTAAAAAACTGACGGCATTTGAGGAAATAAAAAGATTGTCAGAATTGGTGCCTTAGAAATGTCATTAAAAGCTAGTAAGTTTGTTGTCACGAGCACCATAAAAAATGTACCCAGGCTCGAATTCTCGATTCTCTTTGCCGACCCCGCATGGCGCGTGTCGTGAAGACGGACCGTTATTGAGCATGTTACCTCCATCAGCGGCGTGTGCCCGTTCTCGTTATGGTCCTCGACGTTGGCGCTGTTCTCGAGCAACGCGCGCACGCACTCCTCGTGTCCGCCGGCGCAGGCGTACATGAGTGGCGTGTTGCCGGAGCCCGACACCGCGTTCACGTCCGCGCCATGCGCGATCAGCAGTCGCACGATGTCCACGTGGCCCGCGCTCGCCGCCTCCATCAGGGGTGTGCAGTCGCCCTAATCACATCGTATGAAAAGAGAGAATTAAGTATTGTCAACAATAATAGTATATTTTTCTTAAAATTTTATATGTTTCATTTATTACAAATGCTATTCGAGTGAGCATGTCTGAGATCTTGTGCCATGTTTCTATACCGCCTTCATTTAACACTAAACTTCTTAATCTTAATAATTAAAACCTCTTATAAATTCAACTTTGATTAAAACAACAGCTAAGTGTCTTGCCTATTTATTCTTCTCAGTTGAAATTGCATTTTAAATGAGTTGTAAATAAAAAAAATACTATTACAAAAATTATTACAACTATTTAAGTTTACTTGAATAAAAAATATTTCCTTCTTTTCTTTTTAATCCATTTTAACTTATTACTTAATTGTCAACTTGTTTTGTCGTGTTCTTTTAAATTGAAAAATTAACGATTGTTCTCATCTTTTATATGGTATAGACTTACATGCAAAACGTCCATGTCTTTTTTATTTATTTTTATATAATTAATTATTTATTTATTTACACATACACTAAACAAACTTTTCACCTAATAGTATCATTCATTTAATACACTCTTGTTCATAAGAAAAAAATATAAATTATACATGATAATATGACAAGACTAGTAGTATTTTAAAAATAGGATAAAAATTTAGACACACACACAATTATATAACATCATAAGAGTATTTTATGTGTAAATATGCGACTCACGGACACATGTGTGCACGAGATGTAATTTGCATATATCCTATAATTCACATTATATGGTATAATATTATAGAAAGCAAACCCTTACAAGTACTGTATAAGGTATTCACCTTTATGCCACGATCTTCGACGCTCGCATGCATTGCTAGCAGCACCTGTGCCAGTTCGTAATATCCCGCGGAGCAGGCCAGCGACAGTAACGACTCCCCCTCCTCCGTCGTCTCGTGGACGGAGCGTCCCTCTGTGAGGAGTTTTCGTACTGTGCCCACGTCGCCGTCTGAACATGCCTCCGCTAAAGACGGCGCACCGTCTGCACCCACCGACGATGCAACTGTAGGCGTCGTGCCCGTTGCTGTAGAGCCGCATTGTGTGCTACAAACAAAATAATAATAATAAGAAAAACACGACAAAATTTAATTTAAAAAAAAATCAACTCGTAATCAGATAAGATCAAAGCTTCAAAAATCACAGTCGCGCACCGCAGCTCGATCTAATCGACGGGGAGTCGTCGGCGACTCGACCACAGTCTGTAAGAGAGACTTACGATGCGCAACGACTCAATCTCGGATATTCATCACATAGAGGTGACATGTAAACATCGTTTCACTGAATCACTAAATGATAATATGGCAGGAAACGATCGATTGTAAATGTGTCGTTGGTCATTCATGAAAACAATAAGTTCGAAGAGTAACGCCGTGTTCGCAGTGACAAGATCTAACAAAACTATCAAAAAGCCAATTATTGTAGAGACCATCACTTCCCTTCCCCAATCCAGCTTGTAATAATTGAGATTGTTTGTAATGCAGACTACTAGTGTTATTGCTAGCAATGAACCCTGTTAGGTAGACCTCCGCGTGGTCCCTCCTAGAAACTATCGTGCTAAATTTCAGCTTTATTCTTCACAATAGAGCCATTGATCTGTCTTTTTATTCTCACCTATCATCCATCCCTGATGCCCCGCCAGCGCAGGCGGAGTTACCATTACATTATCATCCATTAAAAAAAAACATTACTTATAAATTTGTAAAATTTTACATTAAAATATTCACATACATAATTAATTAATAGAGTATCAATAAACATATACATATATAAGTAGATTTAAATCCGAAATAAAATGTTACGTAATATTTTTTTAAACCATATTAACTATAAAATAAACAGTACATAAACAACGCATATATTTTATTTTGGGTCAAACTAAAACTTACATAATTTCTGTAAGAACGATTAGTTTTTACAATTAAAATCCAATAAAAATGATAACGAATAACGACATTTTAATAAGGTTTTAAAAACATGAAAATTATAAGTTAATGTCTATCAAAATGTACGCTATAAAGTGAACAATTCGTACTAATACAATAAAAAAAATCATTTACGATAATAATATTAAATATTATGTACTAAAAATACGCGGTACTCATATATGGCACAGAGATAGAAATTAGGTTCTATTTCCGATGTATTTAATTAATATACATGATAAAATTGGAATTATCGGCATGCTTTTAAAGGATTTAATTTTAGGACTACATCTACTATTAATAACTTGAATTTGAACATTTTCCTCCAAAAAGCGGTGTCAAAAGATGAACACTACACTTTTAGCAAAAGGAAACTTTGAACAAAAATAGTTTGCTTGGGTACCTTTCTCTCATTCGTGTTTCTACCATGAAGCAGTTGTGTTTTCATGGCTGTGTTTCGGTTTGAAGGGTGGGATATGGCAATGAATTTACAGGGCACAGAGGAATAACACCTGAGTCCTCAGGAATGGCAACGCATGGGGGGTATCATGGAGAAAACAGTATTACTACTGTTATGTCTATGGTATTGCTCATGTCTATAGGCGACAGCTACCACTTTCCATCAGGTCGGCTGTTAGCTTGTTTGCTATTTTAAGTTGCATAAAAATAAAAATAGATAAAAACACTCTTAAGCTTCCCATACTAACTTCACAGTTGAACTATTAATGTGGCTGAAACTAATTTCACCTTATCCAAATATCAAGAAGTCATAAATTATGCCGTTATAGCACTCAACTTTTGAGGTACCCCAAAAAGATAATAAAACATCGATAAAACTTTATCTAACTTATTAGTTGCTAAAATTCAGTTTTTTATGGAATAAATAATATTAGTGCCACCACGATTGCAATAAGTTGATTACAATAATAATTTTCAATGTTTAGCAGATACCGGACAATACTTACTGACCTTGCAATCTAAGAGTTTATTACTTGCGTTAAGCAACATTATTAATTTTGTTTAATTTGTTTAATATTATTAAAAGTTGAGTACATCTAAAAGTCACGGTCATAGGTTTGATTACAATCAGTACCAATTTTTGTATTACTTTAAAATTTACCCCCTGCCAAGTAAGAATCAAAAGCGCTCTGCAAAATGTGCTAAAGACGCGTATCATAACGTGAATTAACTAAAACAGTAACCGGTGATCAACATGTCTGAATAATTTCGTTTGTTTATCTTACTAGATACCTAATAATAATTGTAAATGTAACATTGGAAGCAGTTTTTGGTTATTTGAAACCAGAAGCCATTAGACGACTGCATCGAAAAAATATACGAATTTAGCAACATTTTTAATAAAAATTTTTGGCAAGACAACGTAAAAAGAAATCGGATATTCTCGTGCTTTGGATGATCTATTACATTTAAATGATAAATGCTTAGTTTTTCAACAAATTGTGAAATGCAAAATATTGCAACTACAATCAGAAGCAAACAAATTAGTTTCACTGTTTATTTTCACCTTATTGCTCTGTATTTCACCTTATTGACCGACTATGGCATTTGACGTGACGCAACAAATGTAAAAAAAATACATATATGTGAGTGAAATAATTTTGTTCCAACAAAACTATTTACAAAATAAATTTTATCCATTCACAAAGTAATACTAATATTAATTTTTTATCCTACAAGAGACTCAAAAGAATTTGGGGTAGGATGGGGGGAGATGCCTCATTAGTAGTGGGAACGTTAATCCCCACTGCTAGCAATATATCCTGTTAAAAAAAAATATCCTGTCAGGTCGACCTCTACGCGGTTCTCTCTGGAAACAATCGTGATTATCATCAAATTCGTTGCGATGGGCCAACAGACCTGACTTTATCTCTACCTATCCTCCTTCACTTGTGCCAAGCCAGTGTATACCGATAGCGCGGGCGGGGTTAATCATTTCATTATCATCCATTAAAAAAAAAAACTAATTTTGGTGAACAAATGGTCTTATAGTAATTTAAACGGGCAATCCAGCGGGGTACGGCTAGTATATACGTAAATGTATTATTCAGATCAAATAGCCAAACTTGAATTTATAGAGCAAACCGTGCGTCATATAAGCATCGTTATTCACAAATATTCTCTGACGGTAACATTGCATCCATTATGTTTACTTCTAGTTGTTTTTCGAATCTCATAATTATGGATTTGGAATCACTAGCACGGTACAAAGTATCGGGATTGTGTAATCTGTTGGTGCCTCCATATTACCGCAGTTTTTGCCAGAATAAACACTTTCATCTGACTTCAAAATGATCTCTTCAAAAGGATCTATATTAGGTTGTATTTTTTTATTGTTTGTTACCAACTTACTTCGTCAGTTAGTTGTAAACCGATTTGGAATAGTCTTCTTATCTGAAAAGATATACTTACAGATTGATCTTAAAGAAATTTTATCAAATTCGATTCAGTAGTTTAGTTTTTGAATCAAAATAACTGGTGTTGGCACAATACAAATCAGCTCTTTTTGTGGAACACAATCTCAATTATTGATTTTGTTGTGTGCGCAAATATCACACTTCCTATCAATATTATTTGCCTCTCAACAAATTGTTTATAATTACTCCTCTCCATCCAAAGGTTACCTGGAAGAGATCGCTCTTAAGGTCGCCCATTGTTTTCTCATTGTGATTATTTCTTGTAATTATTTATATTTATAATAAGTTTACTATTGTAATCTTTTGGAGGAAACAATAAAGAGTATATCTCTATCTATCTATTATAAAAGTAAAAATAAAAATAAAACTCTGAAGTTAAAAAAATACATATTTACAAATTTTCCTATATTCTTACAATATACTGGCAGGTAGCAAGTCTGTTATCGTTTTTCAATCTAATTAAATATGGAACTGTCACTCGATATAAAAAATGTATTCAATTGCATTGCGTATTTTCCGAATCGAATGAATGATCATTCAAGACTCGAACGATGAAACGACAAAGTATACATAATTACATACATTCGAATGTTTTCATTCAACACTCGACTAGAACATTTGAATACCAAAATTCATTCGAATGAATTATTCACGTTCGACCATCACTATATTTAGCTACTAAGAATTGAAACATTTCAGTATACGATATTATACAGGACACGTACAGTGCATTATATGCACTTTTACAAGCGTTCGCTTTGACGTTGATGATGCAACAGTAAGATAAGCCGGTGTTCACAATACTCGATTGCGATTTTTGTCCGAAACGTATAATGATGCTTTCTCTGTCTAGCAAAGGTTCACATTCACTATTCAGGATATGTACAGTGTGCCTCCGCAATTCAGAATAAAATATAGGCGATTGTTGTTCTGTATGCTTGTTTAAATTTTCAACAATTTTGACTTGCTTTAGTACCCTCGCAAACTAGTAATATATAAAATACTATATGTTCCTCCTACTGGACTTTTGACCCAAAGAGGTAGATAGATAGTTTACGTACTAGCGGCGTGGGTAAAAAGGAAATATATTATTACATTTTAAAATATTTATTATACAGGCCGACGTTTATTATCATAAATATTTATCATTATAAAGTTGTATAAAAAAAAAAGAAAATCCAAATTTTTTAGCCTTTCTTAATTTCATGACAGCGTCTTTTTAAGGAAAGTTAAAAAAAAATCAAATTAGAATCATTTACTTTACTTTAAGAAACTTTTTTTTAACAACACAGGGGGCAAACGAGCATGCGGCTCACCTGATGGTAAGTGATTACCGCCGCTCATGATCACCCACAACACCAAGGGCATTGCAGGTATGCTGCCGGCCTTTTATAAAGGAAAATGCTCTTTTCTTAAAGAATATGATGTCGTATTTGTTGTTGTTGTTAAATTGTTAAATTTAATGAAAATTATGACTAGGTATATAGTTATTTTCGATCTAAATCAGTGATTAAATACTCTATTGTTCTACATTAATATGTCGTACTTAGCATTATTATATTTTATAAGTAAAATTGTCACTATATATTTGTGTATTAAAACAATGTATCTCATATATCATAGTGAAAAAAAATTGTAAGAGAGGAATACTCACGGCTTGTCCTGATGGTGGTGCCTATGGTGCGCGGGCGGTTGCTCACTGCGCATACGCGTGAGCGCCGCAGCGGCTTCGTCGAGGGCGTTAGACACGGACGACGTCAGCCGCCGGAGCACCTCGGGATCGGCTAGGTGCTTGCCCTCCCCGGATAGCTTGCCGATGCCTGCTGACAATATACACACGGTCAATTGTGTTAAGGTGCAATTTTCAAATACAAAATGGAAGGGGGAGAGAGATCGTCAATAACGGGGACTAGCTGCCCCATTGCTAGTAATATAATCTTTACGCGATTCTCCTTGGAAATCATCGCGATTAATTCTTATAGATTCGTTACAATAAGCTAACTGGCCTGCTTCATCCTCACCTATCATCCCTCACTGGTGCCCCGCCAGTGTATACCGATAACGCAGGCAGGTTTACCATTCCATTATCATCTCAAAATAAAAATACAACATGTCAAAGCAAATATTGACGGCCCACCGAATGTACTTTATGCTAATGATTTAATATTTCCCATGAATTTTCTAATTATTATTGTTTATATTAAGAAAGAAATAGTATCCATCCAAATAACACATACAATATGTTTGTCCTCTTATTTTAATACCTATTTTATCCAAACTAATATAATTGCGAAAGTGAGTTTGTTTTTTTGTTACGCTTTCACGCTTAAACTTCTGAATCGATTATAATGAATTTTGGTATAGATATAGATGTGGTCCAGGAGACGGTTATATGCTGCTTTTTTTAACAAAAAACTTATACAGGGTGGGGGTAAGGGATGGATAATTTTGTATGAAACTTTTCATTACGACGTTCATGTGTTACATAATTAAAGTATATGGTACATATTTCTTTTTTCAACCCTCCATAAAAGTGTGAGTGGGTTTCTTTTTGTAATTATTTAATCTCTACTTATACTAACAACCAGAATTGCTGAACAAAATTAATATTAATGAGAGCGAAGCCGCAGGTAACAGTATGTAAACAAATCTATTCTAAGAGACCGTGAAATTAATAAATTGTACAGCTTTAGGATCTGCAGAAAATATTGCGCAAAGTGCATAAGGCACTTAAGGCTTGACGAACGGGCGAGCTTTACCGCGATTTTGGTGGCTAGGTGGTAGGAAAGGTAAGATTATAGTAAGGTCTTATTGTACTGTGAGCCAACGTACTACTCTAGTATTACTACTCTAGTAGTACTCTACTACCTACTCGTATGTATGTCGAATGTTCGTATACAAACAAATTCGATGGAACTCTATGAACGACATTACTATGTGTAATTTATAATTTAAGATTGGAACAAGTTCCACAAAAAAACCGACTTCAATCGTGGCAAAATCAATTATATTGATTTAAAAACTAAACGGAAGTTGATAAAATTTCAATAGAATTAAACAAAAAGTATATCTATTCAGATGAAAAAAAGAATTTTCCAAATGAGTTACCAATTTTAAGGAATTTATTTATTTTCTCCACAAATTTTACAGAAAAATACAGCCACATGAAAAAAAAAATACAACTATATATACCAATGACAGTTGAGGTAACAAACATAAAAAAAAATGATACCTTTCTACTTTTTTTAAGTAAGTTAAAAATATTATTGGTCCAATTAAATATTTTGGAGATCTTATGACACATTAAACTTCGAATGTAATACGGCCCGACCGAATGGAAAGTCGCTAACGAACGACCGAATCTAATGAAGTTCGTAATACGAAATGACCAAACTTTCTGATTCGTTACTCGTCGTAGGTAGTTAGGTTCGCAATCGGCATTGTTTAAAAAATTGCGCGTTATTATTTTAAAATTTAAAAACGTGTCAATCTTGTTTAAACTCCACAGAGATATATGTGGTTCAGGAGATGGTCATAAGCTACTTTTTCTTACGAAAAACTTATATGGGGTGAGGTAAGGGAGGGACAATTTTTGTATGAAACTTTTTATTGTGTCGTCCGATTTTCTAAAATTTTTACAGAATATGCAGAATTTTTGTCTATAATTCATAATAAAAGTAGACATATTTCTTTTATCGATCGAATCTAATGAAGTTCGTAGTAGAAAATGATAAAACTTTTTGATTCGTTATTTCGTTTTCGACCTTTCGAGATTCGCAATTTTAAATTTACCAGAGGAAGACTGTACAAAAGTCGATTGCTTGGGTACCTCTGTCCTATTCGTGTTTTTACCGTGAAGCAGTTGTGTTTGCATGGCTGTGTTTCGGTTTGAAGGATGGGATATGGCGTGAATTTACAGGGTACAGAAGAACAACATCTGAGTCCTCAGGAATGGCAACGCATGGGGGGTATCATGGGCAAAACAGTATACTCTGTTATGCCCATGGTACTGCTTAGGTCTATAGGCGACGGGTACCACTTTCCATCAGGTGGGCCGTCAGCTTGTTTGCCATTCTAAGTTGTATAAAACAAAAATTAAAAACGTGTCAATCTTACAATTTTCTTTCACGGAAAATTCCAATTCTTTTCATTCATTGCCATATTCATCAGTTTATTAAATGGAACATAAACATGCATTCTTGGAATAATATTTACTAAGAAACAAGCCAATATAAAATGTAAAACGAGCCACAGAATTTATGCTGAGAAAGGCGACGTCAAGTCTATGCACGCATAAACAGTTCAATATCTATCTCGGTGCGATGTGTGTGCAGTTTCACTTTTATTCCTTAACGAGTGTTAACCATGTGGGTACTATCATCACGGCACGCTCTGCGGCCCGCAGGCCACCCTTCGTGAAATAAGTGTTATTTAAAAATAGAATTGTTAGTAGACCCCATTGTAGTGAGTCAATCAGGGCGTATTCATATTTGGGACGCTTACTTAGTCGCCAATGGAGATAATTCGTTTACCATCATGAATCCTTACTAATGTATAAATTAGTTTGTTTATTTGTTTGTTAAGTGACATCAAAAAATACTCTTTTATGTGATACATCGTTAATTCAGGATCGATTTTGATTATTCTTTTTGAAATCGACAAAATTCATTTTCATGTTGGCCATAGCCATATACTAATTTTGTTACAATGGAAGGTGCTATTTTGTGGATTATTCTACAGCTTCGTTCGTGTGAAAAACATTCTACGATTGAAGTTAAGATAGAATCTATTCGTGTCCAAAGTTTCATTCAAATCCTTTCAGTAGTTTTTGCGTTAAAAAGTAACAAACATCTATCCATTCTTATAAACTATTGCATTTATAATAGTCGTAAAGTTGTTTGCTATCTGCCATTATAACAGAGTATAATAGATTTTACTCTACTATAACAATGGCCAGTCAACTTTATTCTAAATTTAACTTCGGGTGTTTTTTTTTTCTTGCGCTTTGTCCCTTTAACCTTTATGACATCCTGGGGATGAAAATGTATTGACGAATAACCAACGTATCTACTTTAGAGACCAAATGCTAAACGTATGTGGCGGGGGGAAAGAGATTGTTAATAATGGGGATTAATGAACCCATTGCTAGCAAGCCCTGTCAGGTCGACCTCCAAACAGTTTCCCCTGGAAACCATCGTGATTAATACTCGTTGTATTCGTCATGATGGGCTAACTGATTTGCCTCTTCATTCTCATCTATCATCCATTAAAATAAACGTATGTCGCCCAAAATACAAATATGTTTTATAGATAAATTATACAAAATAAACAGACGGACTAGTTGCTTGTAAAACATGTGGTGAGCAATAATCACAATGTTGTACTTTGTGAATAATAATATGTCTATTCAAGGACATTAGTGCATATTTGTTCACATTATTAGGTAATATTATAAATGCAAAAGTTTATATCGAAGGATGGACATCTGTTACTCTTTCACAGAAGAACTATAGAACGAATTTAAATTTAATTCAGTACAGGGTCTTTTTTTTAATGGATGATAATGTAATAGTTACCCCGCCTGCGCTAACGATATACGCTAGCGAGGCACTAATGACGGATGATAGGTTAGCATGAAAAGATAGATCAGTTAGCCCACCATGATGAATACACCTGCAATTCAGCACGATAGTTTCCAGTAGGGACCACGTGGAGGTCGACCTGATTGCGTATATTGCTAGGACTGGTAGTGCATATTGTTAACAATCCCTCCCCCCCTCGGTACAGGGGTAGGTAATATGCACACACTCGAAGCCGTGATGTATAGTTAGTATTGAATACTTCTGGCATCTTTGCCACATTTTATGGATATTTTTCGTCAATACAACTCTTTTGTGGAGCGTTTTCAGTGGATGGCTCTATTATAGTCGTTAAAAGATTTTATTGATCAATCTTTTATACCTGCACTCTAGACGGACAGTCTGGTTCACACAGAATAGACATTTTATACGCGCGAGTGTTCTGAATTTTCCAGCGAATCTAGCTATAGTTGATTAGCGACATTATTTTTAAATTTTTAACTGAAAAAAAAAAAAAGAGGTTATCAATTCGGTTGTATTTCTATAATAGCAGGAACATGAGATCTATATTAAGTATTAGACTCATTAATGACTAGCTATTAATTGTCATTTGGTCCGCGTGACCATCATATGTGTAGTATATTAAAAAATATTTGTGCCTAAGGTTGGCAACATTGAAAATGTAACATGACTTTTCTCTCTGTCATGGCGTCTTACATTAAAGTGCATTTTCATTTATAAGCGGTTTTTTATTACAACTATAAGTTATTTAAGCGTGCAAAGCACATTCAATATTTTTCAACATTATAATATGTTTACTAACTATGATAAAAAGTAGCATGTATAAATAAATCTATATATATAGTACATGTTTACCAAATTTCATAGCGATTGGTTTAACCGTTATGGCGCTATAAGGTAACAAACAAAACAAACTGCCTTTCACATTTATAATATTAGTAAGAATGAGATATAACTATGTGCTGTGTGTTAGTAGCCAACGTTTCAAAGAATTTTGTTCGCGACAAAGCGACAATCATTTGACAAATGATAAAAAACAACTTTTCTGAATTTGTTCGGGTTTGAACATGCCGAGTTGTAGCCCCAAATGCTCATTGCCTGGCTGCTCATAACACAGGATATTCTGGTTTGAGGATCAGGCAATTGGTGCGAATGTATGATGAAAAAGAATCATTTACGAAGGCCTTTTGAAGAAGCTTGACAAATCCTATTATGTTTTT